TTTCCCAGCCACCAAAAGACCCAGGAAGAAACCTCAGAGGTTAGTCTGCAAAGCCGATGGGCGGATTGTCAGTTGCTACTGGGCTCCCAACCATTCCTCCGAACACAAAAAGCTAATGAAGTATATATGCCAGCTGTTACACTCATTTTGCCAGACCCCAGGAGGACAGCATGAAGACAGTCCGTGATCAAAGGCTTTGGAGATCACTGAGGAGCCCGGGCTGCAGGAATGTCTGATTGCTTTCTCTTGGAATGCCACAGGCTTCAATACCTTTTTTTTTTTTAAGGTGTCTTGGTGTGAGATTTAATGATCTAACTCAGCTTGCTTGTACTAAAGGCATAGTATTTTAGTTAATTCTGAGGGGTTTATTTGCCCCAAATTTAGATTCTTTGAAAACCTGTAATTGTTTTGTCAGTACAGCGGGAATCTGGGAAAGCGAGTTAAAATTACTCTTTTCTTGGTAATGCGGCAATTTAATAAATAAACCAGGAAAAAATAAAAGTATTCTCAGCACTTGCTGTCTTTTTATATTGCATACAGTAGTATAGAGTGAGGTTGGCGTAACTGATTTTGTGTTGCAGCTTAACAGAAATACGCAGTCTCTGGAATCTAAAGCTGTTTTGCTGCAAGTCAAGGCTGTTGTCCTGCTGGCAGCTCGCAGGCAGTGCTGCCCCTGAAGCAGCCTCTCTGTCAAGCAAACGTCACTTTTTCCTAGGTCGTCTTGGAGAAGGCTGTCAGCTTCTGGAGGTGGAGTGGGTAACCTGAATAACTCCCTCTGTTCCTGAGCATGCAGTTTCCTTCCTCCTCCTCTCCTGCTTTGCGCTGGCTCTGGTGTTCACAGGGTCCTGCACCAAACGTGTAGGGTGCGTTTGGCTGGAAAAAAAAAACTTTCCTCTTTTAGCTTCAGTTTGTCCTGGCATGATGGAACGTGGCTGAAGGTCAGGAGTCTGGGGGGAGTGCTGGGGTGAGAATACTGCAGTGTCTGGATTGACAGGGGGCTACAGCTAAATGGTGCTGGCGGCTGCTTGCTCTTGGGCATGGCAGGAAAGTGATTCAGGGAGCTGTAAAAAATAGGTATGGAATAATGTTCATTTTAGTAGTGACTCTGCTCTTGGCTGAAAGGGTGGAGGTAACTTAATGGTTGGGGAAAGGAGCAGGAAGGCAGGTTCTCCGCTGTGTCCTGAAGGAGACAGGATCCTCTCAGCCCAGGTGCCACATGAATGTGTGGTAAACAGCAGCACTTGTCATTTTTTGGAGTGTCAGACTTGCTTTTGGGGGAATGAGTTAGTTTGGAAGGTGTTAGGTTGAGACAGCTGCACTGAAGACATCAGCTTTACATCAAAGACCACTGGTGTCTGGAGGGATGTTGAGAAGTGCAAAGAGAGGGAGAGGGCTGCTGCCAGGGATGTGCTGCCCTGGCACGTGGGTGTGAGGCAACAGTGAGGAGCCTGCCTGGCTGCTCTGAGGCCTGGATCTCCTCATCTTGGCCCAGGGTTGCTCCTGCCCCTCCTTATTATCTCTTTAGGCCTTGAAATCCTGGTGATTGTCTGCAAGTTGCCCAATGGAGGCAGCTGTGGAGCTGTGAGGAGGCCTGTCTGCCTGCCCAGCAGCGGGAACCTTGTGGGGACCCTGAACCTGCTGATTAAAAGGTCACCTTCCAGGCTGTTGTGCTGTTTCACATCAGCTCTGACTTCTTTGCTTGCCAGTAGGTGGCATCCTGAAGGTCTTGGGCATGAAGCTGCCAGCTGATGGGTGAGGGGCACATGCCTGTCCCCAGGGCTGTTGGATGAGGAGTCCCTTTTATGAAGTGTCTGTGACAAATGAGGCACACAACTAGAATTATCTTGTCCTCAGAAATATTCCATTGTAATGATTTAAGTCCCGGAAGGTATTGGCTGCACATTTACAGCCTTGTGCATACAGTGTGGTCCAGAGATAAATATCCATCGGAGTGGTCAGGACTCCGCCGTCTTGTGACACGAGCCCTTTGTCTTCCTTGTTTCCCTTGACCTGAGATATGCAAGAGCAGCGGTTACATCATAGTTGATAAGGAGCTCAAGTACTGGAGGAAAATAATTGGAAAATGACTTTAGATAAAGATGTGGAGGTAGGAAAAGTATGTGCTTTTGCCATGCTGTGGCTTTCTGGTGTGTGTCCCTGATGGTCTAGAGAAGCTGCCATCAGAAGTGGAAAGGGCTTTTTTTGATCCATGAAAATTGTGGCCACCTCAATTCAATTGTTATTTTAATGAATAACGCCTGTTAGTACTACTTTATTTTACAAGGGTCTTAAATAGCCCTATCTTCTCAGTGACACCTCGTCCTTCAAAATAACTATCTGATTTACCAGTGATGGAAATAGATTATCTCACGTGAGGAACAGCAAATGGAGGATCACACCAATGTTCCTGGGTGAACTCAACCTGGATACTGAGATACGAAAGTGGAGTTGCATCCAGCCGAAGTGCTCCTTTTTCTGTTCCAGGTAGATCCCCAATGACCCATACTTGCTGTCAAATGTCACAGGCGAAATGAAAGTTCAGGATTATTGAAATGGTGGCAAAGAGGAAGAGTCCTGTTCTTCCGTTGCTTAGGCCTTTTAACACTTGGGTACACATTAATGGAATGTTAGAGGCAAGCCTTCTCCACTGGGTGTCTAAAGACCCCCAAAACTATGAGCTGTAGTTTTTCCTCCTCTACATAGTGAGGGCCTTCTATAGTGACATGAGGTAAAGCACCTGCAGAAGAAAAAAGCAAATATTTCTTGGTCTTGCGGGATCCCACCTTCTCTGAGTGTTTGCATATTTACCAGTGGATAGGAGGTCTTTGCAGTCCTCTCAAAACTAGACGACAGACAAACTTTATTCTGATGCCTGGGCATTGTTGCTGAACAATGCTACACCAGTTAAAGTTAATATTTTTCTTTTTTTCTCCAGTCAAAGAGCACTGGTATTTGTGGCTTTCTTTGCATACTCCCTGTTTTACAGTTGGTCTTACCACTCCACAAGCCTATGAAAGCCAAACTGGTAGGTCAAAAGAGGAGTAGCTGTTGATACTGGCAGCTAGGAACATGTAAAGAGAAAGATAAACAAAGGGAAATCAGAGCCTGGATAAAGTAGATCTCCAAAGATAAAGTTTAGTTAAAGATAATGAGCTGGCCTTGTTTAAAAAGACAGCTGCAAAATAACCCAGTAGCTCCATGTGCTGGGGTTAAAGTTGACCTAGAATATACGTTTCATTGCTTTTCATAAATAAATAGTCAAGGGAAGATTTGGCGAAAAGCAACATTGCCCCCCACCCTCTTCAGAAAAGTGTTTGATGTTAACAAGTTCTCTGCATGTTTACTTTGTCCTCTGTGCTCGCTGGTGGAGCGGCTCTGCTGCCCTTGAACCGAGTGAGAACTCAAATAAACCAAAATACTTTCCGCACAGCCAGTCTTCCTTGCCATCTGTATCTTACCAAAACAGTCCTGACTACTTCAGGAACCAGCAAACCGTTGCAGCGTGGTCTGCAGGATTACTGGATCTTCTGAACAGCTGAAATAAATTTGCTGGATCAGATAAAACTGCCCAGAAACAGGAGCAGAACTCATCAGATTTTCTCTCAGCCTTCTAAAACTGTCATTATAAACTTGAAGTGCAATTTGCAGGGAGAAGTAGTTGTAAGCAAATAGTTCTATAAAATCTGAAGTGATACTTTTATTGTTATTGGAGTCTTTTCCTGATGCTTATTTTGCATATACTTTTTACAGTGACATTCTGATGATAAAATACTGTAATTTTAAATAAACTGTGGGAATAATTTTGCTGTTGATATCTGGATCCAGATTCTTGGAACCAAATGGCTATGCAAACACTCAATAAACTGAGAGTGCTGCTTAGGACTTATTCCTATCAAACATATGCATTGTTGCACTTGTTTCTGTACGATGCCAGTAAAACTCATGGTTATTGTATTTGTGTTAGATATGTGTTTATATATATATCTGATATATGAGATGTTTAAAATATATGTTGAATGTTATCAGCAGCAAAATTGTATGACCTGTTTCAGGCAGACTGATAAATGAAGTAACTATGCTAAATGAACTAAAAATCTTATTAATCATTATAATACAAAAGGCAAATAAAAAACTTTAAATGAGTGATAGGTGCAGGGTTTTGTGTTTGCTTTTTTTTTTAACTTCTTTTTCGAGAAGAGATGGGGACTCTGAGTGTCACAAACACAGTGGCTGAGACTTACCTCATGCAAGGGGGGCTGCTGGTTTCACAACTTGGTCCCTATATGTAGGTGCTGAAAGGGAGGTCTTCTGCAGTGCAACTGCCAGGTGTGATACAGCTGAGGAAAGGGCTGTCCTGTTGTAGAAGCAGCTGTGTAGACACCCCAGCAGTATGTATGAGAAAGCAGTTTCAGTTCTGGAATATAAATGAGAACAAGATCGACATTGATAATGTTTTTTTCAGTAGGATTTGCCACAGTTTGCCTGTAAATCCGCTGAGGGACAGTGCATGTAAGCAGCGTGGTTCTTAACCAACGTGACGAGGAAAGCAGATGACATATCTCACTAAGCAGGTTTAGCACAACCACAAGCAGTAGCTGCATTGCAGAATATAGATTCACAAAAACTTGTAAAACAAGTGTAGCCTGGTGATAGATGACCAAATGATTATTGTTTGCAAACAATATTATCTCAAATAGATAAGCTGTTTACTTTGGACTTCAGTTCCTCTGGTTGGAAAGTAGTCTAATTTATCAAGGCTGTATGGTTCAGCGCGTATGCCTCACATCCCAGCTGTGGAAAAATCTTATATTAAGAATAGTACTTGGAAACATAGTTAAGTTCAACATCTAACTCATTTTTACAGATGGTTTCTATATTGTGAAGAATACTGGCTGTTTCCTGGTCGTGCTTTTTTTTTAAACCCCAAACACTTTGTTGTAAGAGAGTTAAAAGAATAACTCCTGAAATTTACAGTAGACATCTGTTTGTTTGTTTTGTAGCTGTTTCAGTGCCTCATCTTAATCTGGAGCTTTGTGCTTTCAACTTCTGCAATCAGGCGCTATGCATCCAGATCCTGGACATTTACAGGCACCACTCTTTGTCGCCGTCACAGTTCTCATATCTACCACAAGTTCAGGTAAGGCCTTCTTGCCCTAATCAAAATGTATTTGCAGGCTTGAGCGTGTACTTCTGAACAAGCAGTGATTTAGAGTGCATTTCAATCTTAATGCCAATTTTAATGCATGTTAATGATAGGCTGATTTTAAGGACACACAGAGCGCTGACACTCTGAAGCTCAAATGTCTTACGCTGGATATATGACTTGTTTTTGAAAACTTGGCTCAAAACAAATGCTGGAATTTAGAAGGCTCTGTTATGTAGGTTTGTTCTTTGGGATCTCCATGGACTAGCTGGACTCTGATTTTGCTGTGTACCATGCATCTTGTGTTCCCATGGGTTTGGGAGGGGATTGAAATTTGCAAGGGAAAGGGGGAATGAGATCTTTGAAACACGAACATTGATGCGTGGCTGTAGTTGGAACAGCTCTTGCGTTAAAAAAAGAAGAGGGATGGTTTTAATTGACACATCTGCTCTGCATAGTCAGCTTGTCTTAATGTAACCACACCAAAAAGAAGCTTTTACTACTTTTAGCACTTCACAGCCAATCGTTATAAGCAAATGGGATAAATTTTATTTTTCAAGCAGTCATAGGAGATAAATTCTAACTGCAGGGTCACTGCTACCAATTTTGACTTTTACATTGAATGTAAAGTATTGGTGTTAGAAGCAAGGACAGGGACAAAGATGAGGGAAGATGAAAGTAACAGTGCAGTTTCAGAGCTATTGGTGGCTCATGAACTAAGAAGGCCAATGCTTTTCTCTTATCCCTGGAAATTCAAACTGAACTAATAGGAAAAACAGTTTTCTAATTAAAAGCTAAAAATGTACATCTGGAGTCCTGTGAAATGCTTGGATACCATTTTTATGGATTTCATATTTTTTAAGTGAAGCCACACTTTAATTTCCAGTTTTATTTTGTTTATGCAGATAGTTTAGTTTATGGTTCTGTTAAAAATGCACAGTTTCTCATCTGAAATTCATCTGTATAGACAGAGCTTGGACAGACTGACTTTGGAAGAAAAGCACGAACTGAGAGCCCCACCTACAAGAAAACTGTCTCTTATTTGGATGTCATTTAATCTTGTCTTGACCTGTACTATCTGGACTTTTTTAGCTTACTCACAAACTAAAATTGTTTTCCCTTGCTGTTCTGTCTCTTTACAAACACTTTTTCTTCCATGTTTCTAACCAAATAGGAGTCATTGGTGTTAATTGCCTCTCTTGATCTGTTTGTACAAAATCCTTAGCAGAAAATTCCATAGAAAACAAATGGAAATAATTCCCAATGTTTCATTGGCCAGGATTGGAAAAAATTTCCTCCACAAGCAGGAATTTTCTTCTGGCAAATAAATGGATTCTCATAACCCAAGTTTTGTACAACCGAACCTTTTATTTATTAGCAGCTTTTCCTGTTTCTGTTTGTCTTGACTCAGTAAAGATAATGGGCGCCCAATTCATCATTCTCATCCTGATGAAGTCCATGTATTTGGAATTATCAAGAGCCTTTGCTGTTCATCCAGCGTTTTTATCCTGCTATTTTTAATTAGTTCTGCAGACTCAGAGGCAGTTCTGCATAAATACGTGGCAGGCTGCTACCATTTCTAAAATTTTACAAATCACGGCCGGGCCTGCTTCATATGGGACAGATCAGCTACAGCTGTGTTACTAGACTCTGTTCAGGTGACGGGTGCTGTTTCACTCTGATTAAAACCAGTGTGATTGCAGTTACTGCCTTTCCCCTTTTTCTGGCTCTTGCAAACATGGTCTCTCATCATGCTTTTATCAAGTGATATCAGCCATATCTGGATGCAAGTGTTTAGATTTAATTTTTGGATTTGATGTTCACACTCGCATTGTCTGTAGTTGGGGATGTATCTTGCCTTCCTTTAAGCAGAACCTACCTTCATTTAATCATTGTTACTGTCTTCATGGGGTTTGAATCTTGTCCAGAAGTTTTCCCTGGCATTTGAGAGTGGGAATTTGTAATGATTTCTTCTTGCAAAAGAAAAGGTGATACCTACTTGAGTATCACTACCAAATTGGTGTTTAGAGACTCTGCATTTGTCAGTGTACGATATGAGAAGTCTTTTTAGGAATATTTATGCCTCTTGAGAAACTTTTTCCTGAAGCAACCAGTGCCTTCCAGCACTGATAAAAGAAGTCTGGTTTGTGAAGTGACACAAACCTTACAAAAGAGGATTGCTGTAATACAGTGTATGATCAGTCTCCAACATGAGTCAATATATCCTTAATCTCATTGCATGTGCTCATGCAAAATGCATTAATAAATGCTGTTCATGAACTTAATATTGTGTTTTTTTCATTTTAGGTTTAATTCCCCATTTTACTTCTGAGCCCCTGTCTACTGTCCAGAAGTCTGGTGCGCCCATACAACTACACTGCTCTGCTGAGCCCTCCACAGCTCACATTTCTTGGCTGTTTAATGGAGAGCCTTTGGACAGCAGGTTGGGAGAAGTGGAAATCCAGTCAGGATCTTTGACAATCGTCTCTCTAAGCCTGTCAACATCTGGTCACTATCAGTGCATTGCCAACAGCACTGTGGGCGCTGTTGTGAGTAGGGCTGCAGCGATATCAATAGGCAGTAAGTTAATTTTTGTCTTCCTTACTCTGCAAATTGCATAGATCTCATCTAGTTGACTTGTAGAAAAGCCTAGTTTTAAATCCCCCCCTCACCCCGCCAGCACTTAGTATGTGATCAGTTATGTTTTTCACTGATAGGTCTTCTGTGTCGTGTGAGACCTGTCACACAGAATCACAGAATGGAAGGATTGGAAGGGACCTTGAAAGATCTTGTAGTCCAATCCCCCTGCCAGAGCAGGGATGGCTAAATCATGTCACACAGGAACACGTCCAGGTGGTTTTGTAGTCTCCAGAGAAAGAGACTACACAACCCCTCTGGGCAGCCTGTTCCAGGGCTCTGTCACCCTCACTGTGAAAGTTTCTTCTCATATTTAAGTGGAACCTCCTATGTTCCTGTGCACATCCATTGCCCTTTGTCTTATCATTAGGTGTCATTGAGAAGAACCTGGCTCTATCCTCCTGACACTCACCCTTTACATATTTGTCAGGTGATGCACATGTGGAACAGCTCCCCTGGAGAGCTTGTGGATATTCATCCTTAGAGGCTTTTAAAGACTCCACTAGCAAAGCCACAGTTGACTGATTTAGCATTGGCCCCTTTTTAGCTGAACTCTGGGTTAGAGACCTTAAGAGAGCTTTCTGGCAGATGCAAATATTATTCAAGAAAATAACATTCCCTTCAGTGAATGCCTTAAAATGCAAGGTTCCTGAAAACTTTTCTTCAAAACGGATAAAAAAGCAGCAAGTGAGCTGCCATACCGTTGCAGAAGCATGCTAGAGAGTCAGTAAGAAAGGAGAGGAGAAATGAGTCAGAATTGTTGCCTAGGAAAGGAAGGGAACTTGTGCACCTTCCATCCACATCTAGATGGTTTTCACTAGTGAAATGCTGTTCTTTGGGGGGCACTGTCTTCTGCTATTCTAGGTGGAATTTCCCATCTCTGTAGCATTGATTCTTCTATCAGTCTTTGGTGCTTGATCTGTAAATTACTTGATTTAAAAGAGTTTAGAGGAAGTGCAATGTTTTCAACGTGGAAAGGATGACGTAGTGCTGAGAATAGGAATGTAGTATTCCTCCATGAGGATGATTTGTCTGCTTAAGATTGCAGTGCTGCCTGAATTGGGCCTTTGTCAAGCAGGATTTGAGTGATTTTTCTGTAAGGGTATCTCATCTATGGAGCATGTCCAAAATCCCCCTGGGAGGAAAATTTCTTGTAAGTGTTTTGGTAGAGTACTGACCCATAGTAAGACCCTCTCAAGTGAGCTATAAGGGTAGCTAGCATAGAAAAACTTCTCGACCTAGAAGATGCTTTCTACATGAAGGGAGTAGAAGAGCAGCCTTTGTACTTTTATCCTCCTTTTAAGATTTTAGTAGCAAATTTGAAGGTGCTGTTGATTGTTGAGGCTTTCTGCTTGCCTCGCTGCTCATGGCAGTGAGTGGAAAATACTATTGTACTCACTGTTGTGTTAAGAGAAACAGAAAGACAATTTAATGTTTCTTATGAGAAGGCTTCCTTGTGTTAGTTCAAATTGTCTTCTGTATTGCCTTCAGAGCCCAAGATTAACACCACAGTCTTCTCTTACTGATTTTTCTGCTTTCTTTTCCTGGAGAACTTCAGGGAACATAGGGACTACTTTTTCTCTTCACTATTCCTGTTTAAATGCTAGTCCTTCCTGGGGTAAGAAAGCATGTCTACACCAGAAAGCTTATGGTATTACAGGATACAGAAAGGACCATGCCTGTGGATGTGAACATTTAAATGCTGGGCCAGGAAAGATAACCAGCTTGATACCAGCTTTTTTTTTTTTTTTTAAAATGTGATTACTTCCCTTCACCTTTCCCAAGCCTTTGCTGCTTTTAACCTTTTACCAATTCCCTTTTAGGTCTAGCTAATTTTGATACTTCGGTGAAACCTGTCATTGTAGCGGAGGAAGGTGGCACAGCTTTCATTGGCTGCAAGGTGCCAGAAAGTAACCCTAAAGCACAAGTTCGTTTTCGAGTGCGGGGAAAATGGCTGGAACAATCAACAGGTGAGAAGTTTTGTGGCATTAACCAGCAATATAAATATCCAACAAACTCTTTCTTGGAATTTTATCTGAAGTAACTTAAAACCTTCCAGAAACTTGCACAACTTTATGCACAAATCACTTCATCTAAATCTAGCTTTGTAACTTAATATCCTTTTCATAGCAGTATGATCTCTTTGTGATCCTAAATTTAGAACAGATTGATTTTTATGACAGGTTATTTAAAAGAAGCAATTCTTTATCTGAAACTAAGTTAAATATAATCATTTTTCCTTCCCTACTTGTTTAGATAACTACCTAATTCTTCCATCTGGAAACCTGCAGATTTTGAATGTATCTTTAGAAGACAAGGGATCCTACAAATGTGCTGTGTACAACCCAGTCACTCATGATCTCAAAGTAGAACCTGCTGGACGTAAGCTTATAGTCACACGTAAGTATTTGATTGGATTTTGCAGAATTAATACATCTCAAACTGAATAAATCATACATTTGGCTAGATCTTAAATTTTTACCACTATGACAATCAAATGTTTGTCCTCTGCTGTATATGAAGTGGTTGGTAAATATCTGCTGAATGTTATTTTTCATTTTCTGTGGTTAAATCTGAGTCAAAAAAAAAAAAGCACACAGAAAAAGATTTTGGCATGGATGTATCAGCCTAAATGTTCACTGGTCTCAAATATTATAAATAAAAAAAAAAATTGTCCTGTGCTATTTGCACATTAAATTCTTACTTCCCTTTGCCTCAGAGGAGCAATGAGGCTGCTTCTCAAATCCCAAGAGGACAGATCACTTAGCAGTATTCCCTTTTCAAGGGCTAATTCTGCAGTTCCAGAAATCTTGCTCAAAAATCAGTTTGGCAAGAATTATAGTATTGTGCTTAGTCACATGGAGAAATACCTGTGTTTAAAAAGACATGGTAAAGCTTCAGGACTGGAGGACAGAATTGGAAATTTAAAAACTAGGTTAGCGATAAGTTTTGTCTCTTTTTTTTCCAGGCTCTTCCTCAGAAGGCTTCCACATACTTCATCCCTTGGTCTCCCAGACCCTGGCAGTGCCCCAGCACAGCTCTTTGACACTAGAATGTGTTGTCAGTGGACTGCCTCCAGCCTCAGTCCACTGGGTGAAAGATGGCCAGGACGCACTGAGCAGAGGCAGGTGGAAACTGCTGCACTCCCATCTCGTATCAGACAGGCTTGAAGCATCGGACTCTGGAAATTATTCCTGTGTAGTGGGAAATGAATTTGGAGTAGTGAAATACATTAACTATTCACTTACGATACTCGGTAAGAAATAAAGAAATCTTGATGTCTAACCAAAATATTTGTTTTGGTTGTATACTTGTGATTTTTGGTATTAGATTGCAAGCAGCTTAGTATTTTTTCTCAACATAAGCATAGTAAAATAAAGGTATGTTCATTATGAGCATATCTCATCATCTCTCCCAAATTAAAATTCATGACTATCTCTTCTCAAATCCTTTACAGTCTGAAATAATTTAACAATAAAGGAAAACACACTCTGAGGCAAGAACCAATCTATTTACTTTTCTGCAGTTTGCCAAGTATATATGGGATATTGTATCAATAATGCAGCAGAGATGTTTCTCTTTTGAGGCTGTATATACATGTAAGCAAAAAGCTGACAAGTAGAGGTGGTATGTCGAGGACAAAAACAAAGGCTAAAGAAACTTATTTGACCGGCTTGATGTGTTTGCAAGTTGTTCCTAAACTCCCTTTTCCTTTGTAGCAGATTTTCCTGTGTTTGAGTTTTTTGTCTCCATGACTGTTTTTGTTTGGTTTTTGAAATGTGTACACTAGAGGAACTTGGAAAATAAGTTGTTGACACAAAATACACCTTTTGTAATGAGGATGTTACTAAAGATATTTTTTTTGAAAATATAAGTTGCATTAATATTGTTAATAAAAACATCACTGGAATAGAGGGAAAAGACCATTAAAATAAGCAAGCATGTGGGGGAAAAACAGCTTAACTTATGCGTAGAACCAGAAGTATGTGGTGCTTACTTAGCCTTTGTATGGGTAAGTTTGTTTAATATTTCACAGTATTATTTTTCAGGATTTAGGCTAAGATCAACATACAATGTAAAATTATTTCTCTTCTTAGAGCCAGTCTCAATTTCCAAGGGACTGCAAGATGAAACTGTGGCTGCTGGAGCAACTGTGCATTTCTGGTGTGATGTCCATGGAAGCCCTGCTCCAACCCTCACCTGGCTGCACAATGCAGCTCCCCTCAATCATTCTCCACGGCACCTGCTATTGGGAAACAGCCTGCAGATCCACGGTGTCATTGCAGAGGACTCTGGCTTGTACCAGTGTGTAGCAAACAATGGGATTGGATTTGTGCAGTCCACTGGGAGACTTTATGTACAGCCAGGTAGGAGCAGTTGCAGGCCTACAAGAACTCAAATTAAGCATTTCTACTTGAAACTTTATTTTTTCCCCCCCAACTTGATTATGTATCTATTTGCTTCTGACCACTATATGTGACAAATCTTACAAATAAGGTGCTCTCAGTTGAATTTGAAAAGCAGTAGGTGTTTCTGTATTGCGGTTATCTGATAATTAAAGTGTAGATTACCAGCTGCAATTAAGTCAATTGGTTGAACTTGATACAATTTATTCTTAAATGGAATCAGGGTACTGTTGTGCTGGATGAACTGGTATTCTTACCAGTATTGGCTGCTGAGTAATGACTTTTTCATACCCTCAGTTTACAAAACGATTTTCAGATCTGGAGTTAATGCACACTCGCTAGTATCAGACTAGCAGGTACCTACAGTGCTTTTGGTCACTCTTCAGTCTAAGATATTTTGCAATACTGCAGAACTTGATTTCTGCTATTACACAGACATGGACAAGAACTTTACGTTTCTTGTTTTCTTGCCATTTTGTGTCATTTTTGGCATATTTTTTTAACTAAATTCAAATTGATGTGAGATGTACTGGTTAACAGATACTATTACCTGTTCGCCTGTGGAGTGGGCTAAGCCAGGCATGCATATGTTCCTCCTTGACAGTCAACCCCTTCATGTATGGAAAAGGTAGTGTGTTTTCAGTGTGGTTTTCTACAAGTCTTCTCTAAGCATAAATTTCATCTGATCTCTTAAGTCTGGAAAGGAAGTCTAGAGAAGCCATCTAGACAAGGAATAACAGTTGAAATGATTAACAAGATGTGTGCATGACTTCTTTTTTTAATTGCATTGACTCAGTTTGGCATTAAACATGTTCCTTAACCACACTTATTTTTTGGCCTTTTTCCTTAGGCAGTGGGTCAAGGCCAGTTATAGTTTCTCCACCAGCAAGTGTCAGTGTGACAGAAGGTGGGGATGTCACACTGTCCTGCAACGCCACTGGCCTGCCCGTTCCTGTGATCCATTGGTATGATAGCAGAGGCCTCATTACCAGCCACCCCTCCCAGGTGCTTCATCCAAACCCACAAGAACCTTCCCAAGCAATGCAGGGCAGCACCATTGCAGAGCCCACCACCTATTTCACCGCATCTCAAGCAGGGTCAAGTTCCTTGCACATTCGGAATGTGACTCCAGGTCGTGTGGGGGAATATACCTGCGAAGCCATCAACGAGCATGGCTCTGCGAAGTCGGAAGCCTTCCTCACAGTTGGTAAGCCTGAATCACAAAACCAATATGGAATCTAGTGCCGTAACACGGAGAGTAGAGGTAGTCAGCGTACAGATTTAGGTGAGAAATGCATCTAAGTAAGAATTAAAATGAAGGTAGGTAGTGGAGGTATCCTGGGGAAACACAGCAGAGGGGTCCAAGCTGCCTTCATGGTCCTCTTTCTCCTTTCCCTCTTTCCTCAACTGATAGGCAGAGAGGAAATGGCTGTGTGTATTGCATGGTGCTTAGCATTCTAATATGTGATTAAGAAACTTTCCAAGGTGGGTGCTGTGCTGCTAGGAAAAGAGAATTCTTAATTAAAGGCAAGATAGGGAAAGAAGTACTGTCTTTTTTTGACATTGGAATGTTATGTTAGTACAATTTTAAGTTCCCTTCATAAATTCCATCCACAACAACTAAGGTACAGGTTTTAATTACATGAAGTGACTTAGTTTTTCATCTGCTACAGTATCTTGTCTCTGGACGTTTAACAGAATGTCAGTGCATTTTAAGATTCTCCATATACGTGGTCCCATACTTAAAGTTCTCTATCACCAGTTAAACTCATTTATATGATGTGAAAATATGCTGAAAGGTTCTCTTAGAGGAAAGGGGGGGAACTAATGAAAGTGATCCCATCATATAGTTTTATTTATAAATTATTGCTGGACCTTGCTAAGAGGAAACAAAGCTAAATATCATCACAGAATTCGATCTGTATCAAACAGAAAAATCACACTGCTTTGCCTCAGAATTTTATGGCAGTAAGTTCAAGTTTAATGTTTTGTTTATTAACTTTTATCGGTTTCTAATATGCTGCTGATTATGATGTAGAAGGTGGTTATGGCATTTGGTTTTGATATAAAACTCCTTAAGTAGTTTCTGGGAGCTGTTAAGGTTTTTAAACAGTTCCCATCCATGCCAGGAGACATGCTCAAACATTTAGAAATTCTAATGAAGAATTTGTGCCAGGTAGTCAGTTGTTCAGGTGCTTCAGAAATGCTTAAGCTGTGATTCCAGTGCATTTCATTGGTGGTAGGATTAATATAAGAAGCTCTCTGCCTCAGCAGCTTGTCTCTGTAATTTGCCTTGCTCAAGCACAGAGTAAAAGATTATTTGGCTGAAAAATGTTTTTTTTTGTTGTTGTTGTTTTTTTTTTGTTTGTTTGTTTTTTAAATTTTATTTTATTTTCTGCTGGATCTGTTCCGTGACCTGATCCATTGCATGGTCTTAAAAACAGGCAGGGCAACTTAAGCCACCATCATAGTGAGAAAACAAAGTATAAAACAATAGCCTTAGCATCCTATAGGCATAACATTTATTTTAAGTCTTTTTAGACAGTTGTGGTGTTTGCATGTATGGTAGTATCTTTCCATAGCTACTAATTACACTTAATTCTTCAAAATAACTTTTGTCGAATGGAAATTAAGGAGAAAAATACACTGCAGGAAATCCAAGTGGCAGGCAGGTTAGTACAAAACCCAAGAAAGAGCAGTGTTTGCTAGAGTTAGGTTGATGTTATATTGGAAAGCAGGCTCAAGCTATCTTTTATAGAGGCCAGACATGTCTGAGAAGTTTTAGGGTAATTTGAAAGGCTTGCCAGGCGGGGGTGACTTCACTGATGTGCTATGTTCACATTTTCAGAGCACTTTCCCAGCCTTTGCTAACGTACTTAGCAAGCTCGTAGAAGGGGGGATCCTTTGGTTGTTTAAGAAGCGGGGAAGAAATGCCTGGGAATGTGATCTGTTTGCACAGCAGAGACAGCACTGATGACAAAATACAAAGGTTGCTCTGCTGCCATACAAATAAAAGGAATGCCAACAGGTTGAAAACTGCTTGTACATCTGCAGCCCTGATTAAAGACGGGTGTAGAATAAGTAGTAAAGATGCTGTAAAACCTGGCAGGGGGATTCATATGGATATGGAACAGTTTCTGCAGGAGAAGAGACTGAAACGAATGAGGGCTCTGTCTTCAAAGTGAGGCACCCAAAGGTGAAACATGATAGTGAGCTATAAAACATGGGGTATTACAGAGCGTACAAGTAAAAGCTGTGAATACATTCTCCTGATGCTTCAACTTGGGATGCTCAGTGCTTCTCTGTTTGCAAGGGAGTATTTTTTTTTTTCACAGCACCCTGTTGAACTAGAAATACTGTTACTGAAGCATTATGAAAGGCTGGAGATGAACAGGCTTAAAACCTTCCCTAAATTCTACTTCTGGTCACTGTTGGAGATGAGATCTTGGGGCACTTCATCCTTTGGTCTGACCCAGTTGAGTCACGCTTTTGTTCTGAGGTGGGGCTAGGCAGATGAGGAAGAAGAGAAAGCCTGAAGAAGTGAAGGGGGAAGGGATGATGCTCTTGCAGCAGCTGGAGAGAGTTACATGATGACACAGCAGCCAACGGAAGTCTGATGTACTGGTTTGTATGGGTAGCAATTATACCAGAAACTTAGTAAAAAGAGCTCAGCTCTGAATTGCTTAATGGAAATTGTTACCCAGGGTTGTTTTTCCAAAAGCAAAATACAAATTATTTGCCAGTTGTTGATGACTCCCTTCTTGGAGCAATAAACACAGCAACAACTGCAGGTCTCCTGTCACCAGCCTAAACCACAACTAATTCTCCATGCGCAGCAGTCCATTTCCCCATGCCAGCAGGCATCGAACCATGTTGTGCCCACCCACAAATCCTCTGAGTCCGTCACAATGCACTGGGCCTTCTGGCTCCTCAAGTGAATACAGCATTTGTTTCCAATATTAATGTGTGGCAATGCATCACTTTCCCACTGCTTACTGACTGTAGTAGATATCCTTTCACTTTGAGGTCGTCCTAGGGTTTCTGACATTTTAAGCAAACTATGTCTGGCTATGGGGGCTTCTCCTTGCGTTGTTCCCTTCTGCTGCCCCTGAATTTTTTAGCATTCCTAAACAAATAGGAAGAAACAAACAGCACATGCTTGCAGAGTGTCTTCAGTTTGAAAAGAGAACTTTCCTTCCCTTCACAGCTTTTTAAAAAGTGGCCCAAAATAGCAGCCACACTTGCTGCTGGTATTTTAATGGAGGTTTGGAGGAATTTGAGTCAGCCAGGCTAACACTGCCGAGGCTTTACATTACCAAGGAATTTGTTTGTTTTGTAAACCAAGTTCCCTTCATTCCCTTCCCCTTCCAGACCCCTGCACGTAACATAAACCTACACAAATCTGAAAGAAAGGACAGGGCTAAGAACATCTGGCAGTCCTGACATAGCAGCATGCAACCTTTAAGGGCTGTGCTGGTTCCCAAATGCTCTCATCTGAAGCACTGACATTTTCTTGTCCTGGATAATCTCAGATGTCCAACCTGCCACCCCTTTCCTGGATGGAATGCTGACAAGCCCTGCATCAGCCAAACAGTATTTTTCTGTCTCGTGGTCTCTTTCGAACTACTGATATTATTTTTTTATTTTTTTTTATTTCAAACCGGGCAAAGTAAATAGGCTGGAGGAGGCTGGAGCAGGATTTCTAGAAATGCGTTGGTATTAAATTGCATGTTAGATCTGCCTGTAAACCGAGTTTGTTCTCGGCATAAATTTTCAAATGAAATAGTCGGGTCGTGCAGCTTTCAAAGCTGATTGAAATTACAGCTAAAACCTCAGAAACTGAGGTAGGAGAATGTCCTCTTGTGTGCACGCCAATTCAGGGCATGAAAAGTTCCTTGTACAACTGCAATTAATTTAAAATTACTCCGTTTGTGTCACAAGTGTAGCTCTGTCTGTGTTTTTACTTCTAACATACATTGCTGCTACTTAATTTCTTGGAGATGGTAATCAAAGCGTGCCCGTGGACACTGCATTTCAGGTTTTCTCTTTGCTACTGTGAAATGCCACAAAAAAAAAAAGAGCAGAAAGCCAGCATGCAAAGGTTCAGCTTGGCACTACGGCCAGGCCTGCGTGGGGATCCCTTGAGCTGGCTTTGCAGCAGGGTTTGTTTGGAAATGACGTTCTTAAATGATTTAGTGTCCCCTCTGTGTGGGGCGAATATACGTCATCTCAGAGATGTAACCAGACTCCTCCCTTTACAGTTCCCTTAGAAACTGGCACGAAAGCAGCAGCAGAAGAAATGGCTCCTGTGGAGATTGTCCAGAGCAATGAAAGCGATGGTGACTTTGGTGTGGAAACAGCGGTTTCAAGCTTGCCTCCAACAAAGCTGCATTTTGATGCAGCTGTGACAGAAAAGCCCTTGAATAGCATCTCCGCCCCAGAAGCCCCCATCATCCTCAGTCCCCCGCAGACTCTCAAGCCGGACAAATACACCCTGGTGTGGCGTTCGGGACGGGATGGCGGCTTGCCCATCAATGCCTATTTTGTTAAATACCGCAAGGTAATATTTCATCGCAGCGCTGAAGCAGTGCACCACAGCAGATGGATTTCATTGTTTTAGGTTTCTCAAGGAACCAATAATTGTTGCATTGCTGGTGTTAACAAGAATGTGGTGTCAGGCCAGAGAGAATATAGAACGTAGTTGAACCACAGCTTTATTGTGGCCACACAGGCAGCTTATTTTAGGGATGACTGAAGTTGGTCACAAGTATGCTGTTCTATCAAGATTTAAATGAGATTTATTTGGGGGAGCCCAAGCTTTTATTTCCTTTACGGTATCATTATGGTCTCTGGGGAATTGGGCTCCAGGGCATGTTATATGCAATTTCAGTGATGTTAGAAATGCATTCATGTGAGCAAGCCTGAATCTGGTTTGCGGTGGGTACACTTGAGATCAGAAGGGAAGATGAGTATTAGACTAATCTGTCAAAGAATTTGCTACCTTGCATCCCGAAGAGACTATTTTAAACTGAAATTACCAAATACGAAAGTGAACTAATATTCCTTAAGCAGATACATGTCATGTCCTTAAATATGGTGTGTCAGCAGTGAGCTGTTCTGACAAAAATCAGAACTAAGCAATGCCTATGCCCGTTCTTCCAAGTGAAGTTTTCTGTATGGCAGAGCTGTTTGTTTTATTTTTCATAAGCTTTTTAATCCTCTACATCCTGATCTTGTCTTAGCCTGGGGGGAACGCTTAGATTTTTGACCTGTTAGTTCCTGAAAACCTAATGCCAAAGTCTGTTGATACAATTTCTCATCCAAAGGTAGCTGTTTCACGTAAGCACTGAAAGCTTTGAATACTTATTTGACCTTTCTGATGCTTACCCTTCACTCATAACAATCCTTTCCACGTTAAATGTGCTCACTCATGCATTTCTCAGTAGGGAGCTTACTATGTTATTTTATGGCGGTGTTTACGTTGCCATAAATTATTTTTTTTAATTTCTCTCTTTTGAAAAAAAAAAAAAAAAAAGGAAAAAAAAATGAGGGGGAATTAAAACTTTGAAAGAGGGGTCTCTACAGAGGGGAATACTTGAACAAAGACTGCTGGCATAACCATTGATAATCCGTGGCATTTAGACCTGCCTTCCATGTTATATTAAAATCTTACATTGTGTAGTAGTTTATTTTTGCTAGAGTCTTTGTCTTTTTGTTTGGGATTTGGGGGTGACTACCCTCAGTCTCTTTTCTTTCTTAAATGGTGATTTCACTGTTTAAATTTTAAAATTAAAAAGTGTTGTTTTTTGGAAAAATGCATTAGTAAAAACCAAATCTTTGCTCTCTCTGACTTTTCTTTTCCAGCTTCCAGAAGTAACTAAGACATACTTTTGTTGCCCATTTTAGCCAGTAAATATTTTGAAATGCTTAAGCGCAGGAAAAGCTGGAATAGTTCAGGGAACATATCTTTCTTATTAGGGCGTTAGGTCCAGCCTTTAATGACACACACGCACACCCCAACATCCCCAAGCTAAAGGCTGGTTGAAGTATTTAAAATAACTTGGACTCTCACTAGTTTTAGATGAAAGATGAAGTGATCTGTTTTTTCAAAAATAAGCACGTTTGTGTGGAGAGGGAACGCAAGAGAAGCCTATGGAAGGAGCACTGTGAAGACACTTGCAGAAATGCTGATTTGTGGCCAAAGTACTTGCAGATGGCAACACCCAACAAATGTACCATAGTTAGATATAGGAAAACATGAGGAAATTTGGCAAGTTGCAGAGGTCCTCTGGATATTTGTGTGCTAAAGCAATTAGGGATTTGAGCGCTACATTGAGTTTGATGTAATTCATTGCTGATGTTGAACTTTGTCTTGCTGTCCCATGCAGCTGGACGACAGCGTCAGTGCAGCGGGGAGCTGGCACACGGTGCGTGTCCCTGGCAGTGAGAACGAGCTCCGGCTCACCGAGCTGGAGCCTTCAAGCCTGTATGAAGTTTTAATGGTGGCGAGGAGTGCTGCTGGCGAAGGCCAGCCTGCTATGCTGACATTTCGCACCAGCAAAGGTAGGTGCAGCACAATGCTCCCTGTGTCCTAGGCTTTAAAGAGGACATTTATTTAAATTACGTCAGCTGTATGTTGTCTGCTGAGCCATATACATGTATGAAATGTTCTGCAATACAGTTGCTGAAGAACAGCCTCTAATAGCTAAAATAGCTGTAGGGCAAGCTTTCCTGAGCAGTACCAGGTCTGTTGGTAAGTAAAGGCCATTAAATGTATGATAGTTTTATTTTTGACGTGATTGTGGAGATTTTTATACAGGAAAATTTTCTATTGCTTAAATGAGCTTAATTGTGGTCAGGAATCAGTCTGTCCTTGGTTCAGGTTTCTGCACAGAGTATCAACAGAAACTGTTTGAATTGCACAGTCGCCTTTAAGTTTTCATATCGTAAAAGCAGTACTGCTTCTGGTTTGATTTGCAGAAGCTTCAGTAAAAATATCTCAGTGGTTTTGACCAGGAGCCAGCTGTTTTGATTGTTGCGTGCAGACAACAAGCAAAAGAGTGTTTCCAGTCGAAGTAATTTTTTCTTTCAAGCTTGGAAGCTGTGGGCTGTACTCTCAAGCATATAAAAATATATATTTTTTTCATACTTCTGTACAAGAACAGGATAGTTCAAAATTTTGTTAAAAATGTAGTATTGTGAAATCTGTGAAGTCATGATACGTACTTAAGTACTTATGGCTGTATTGACACAGGCCAAAAGCCCCTTCAAGCCAGTATCCTGGGTCCAGCTGTAACCAGTTTCCACAGTATTTTTTTAACTTCTTTTTCTAGATGTAGATTTTAGTGTACTCTTTTTTTTTTTCTGCCTGTTGTGATTTTGTGATGAGAGAACTTCAAAACTCAGGTAGCAGTCAGCAAGTACCACCACAAAGCACAGTACAGTACTGAAGATGTTAGCACAGTCACGTACCAGCCCAGGGACTCTTGCACTGTGGATGGAAGAGGTTTCCTCTCTTGCTCCCCTGAAGAAACTTCCTAATTGCTATCTTGACTGTGTGAGTTGTGATTTGGAGCCAGGGCTTTATCCCTCTGCGCTATAGCATGTGATTTTGCAGAGCAAGCATGTTGCAAGAAGCAATGAACAGCACTTTCTTATCCAATCCCTGAATTGATTGACTGTATATCAAACATTTCTTAGAAAGAACATCATCCTCGAAAAACACTCAGGCTCCATCTCCACCAGTAGGCATTCCTAAACATCCCGTCATTCATGAAGGGACAAATAATTTTGGTGTCGTACTTCCAGATCTGTCTCGACATAGCGGAGGTAGGTATATGGGTTGCTTGTAATCCACGTGCTAGAAGTTAGTGTGAACTGAGATGCATCTAGGTTAATTTGTGAAGTGCTTATTACTGTTCTAGATGCTTCTATTCTTTATTTCTTATGTATTCCTTAAGCCTCTTTGAGACAGTTATTTTTTTTGTCTTGTGGAACTTAAGTGAGTGAGATCAGATAGCAGCAACTTCAAGCTGTCAGATTTTCTGTTTATTGCATTTCCAGAAGAAGAGATGGTAGTTCATGCTTTTGGGGTTAACTGAAAGGTTAGCTTATTCCAGTTTGTGAGCTAGCATTGTATGTAGCTGCCTTGATACCTCATGTTTCCACAGCTACTTTAAGTCACCAAGTTGTAGTGCACTTCTTACAGAGTGCAGCTTCCATGGGGAGGTATTTGAAGCTATGAATTTAGCATATGCATGTCCAAATCTAGTGAATATAGGATTTGAAAGGATACCATGCAGGAATCACCTGCGTGTTTGGTTCTCAAAAATTAGATAAAAGTAGTCTTTAATGTGTATCGTTCTTGCTGCTAATTTTTAAACCTGCAGTTGCTTTTTGTTAAATACTCTGCTTTTCTCTTTCACTGTAAAAGATGCAGAGGGAGAGATGAAATGGGAAATGTTCGTGTCAAAGTTTTAAGTTCTCTGAGTGGACTATCTCTGTTCTGAATGTTCTCCTGTGGCTTCTCAAGGCTACACTTATTTCTTACTGCAAGAAAATAAAAACCACTTCCAGTTAGGTGTAATTTTTTTTTGTTTTAAAGCTTGGTTTCCCATGAAAACAATGGTTATAGTCCTTTTTTATCACCCTAGCCTTTGAACTCATTGACCTGATCTGGTAAATTTACTTGGGCTGAGACATCAAAGGTGATATGACGTGTAAAGTTTGTGTAGAACCAAAGTTGAGTAGAGAGGTTTGTTAATAATGCAGGTGAGGGGAGCTGAGCATTGCATGCTCATGACATTACTAAGTATCAGAGGGGCCAGACAAAGAGACAGCTTACAAATGGTCCAGCTGCAAATGGTCAGCCTGTTTAATGCCCCTAAAGCTGTCAGCTTTCTGTTCCTTGTTTGGTTCCTCCTCTCATCAGTGGCAGGCTCCACATTAATGAATGTAAGATAGTCCAGTGAAGTCTTAGCTCTCAGAATGGTTAAAACCAGATTTACTAACACCCCCTCTTTCCGTTCTCTCTATTCTACTGCTGTCTGTAACTTCAAGTGAGTTCAGTAAGTATATCATTTGTTGCATGTTTTGTTTGCTGTTTGTTATTATTTCTTCCAAATTATGATTTTGGCAATATAGCTCATTAGTGTGGATGGGTTGAAGTCTCATCTGCTAGGGCAATTTCAGGGTTTAAAAAATGATAACCAATTTTTTCTGCATTCACTTAGTATGTGTTTCCATTTCCATGTAGAGATGGGTTGGGGTAGTGTAACACCATACCTGTTTGATTATTACATTGGTAAAATAGTTAATTCCTCCATTTTCTCAACTCCTGCTCTTCAAGCATATTTTTCAGAAGAGTAAGAGGGATAGTTATTATAGGAGGATTTGAGATTCTCTGTGTTAATACACAAAGTCTAATTTAATCATAAATTAGTTTAATCAGTTGTAGAAAACGAAGTTTCAGCTGCCTCTAAAGCTCTTTTAACTGAATTTCTTATTTCAGTTCCAGAAGCTCCTGATCGACCCACAATCTCCACAGCATCAGAATCATCTGTCTATGTCACATGGATACCACGAGCAAACGGTGGCTCCCCCATTACTGCCTTTAAAGTAGAGTATAAACGTTTGGGACGAAACAGTGACTGGCTAATTGCAGCTGATAACATTTCTCCTTCCAAGCTGTCTGTGGAAGTTCGTAACTTGGAGCCAGGTATTAAAAACGTTTTTTCCTCTGAAGCAATTAATGCTGCTGTGTTTGCTCAGATGAGTACTCCAGTTGAAGAGACAGAGTTCAAGTTTTCTCTCATTTTAACTTTTGTGGGATAGGAGTTCATCATATGAATTCAAGCTGATTTCTGGCTTTCCCAGTGGAAAAAAATTCCACACCATAAGTTAATACTTTTCCAAGTGGAGGGGAGCTTTGTGTATTATTGCTATTTTTAACTTAATTGTCATTCTAGAAAGCACTCAGAAAGTAAAAGAAAAGAAAAATGCATTAAGGGAAAGTTGTCTGTACTAGCTTTTGGTTTTTCCCATTGACCAGCCATAAAATGTTAGGGAAGGAGTTATGAGTAGGGGGAATGGATTATGATAGGTATCCTTTGAAGCATCTTCTCGATGTCCAGCAGTTAGGGACTTCCTGAGCCTTATGGCTGCCTCTGTGTCTTTGGATTTTTCTTGAGTGATTTTCCCTAATCACTTTTATAAGCTGTTTATATTTCTGATGGCCACATTAGTCTGTGGCAATGAGTCCTACGCTTTTTTTCTAATTGGATGTTGTGCAAAAACTATTTCCTAATCTGTTTAGTCTCTCCTTGAATCCTGTTTCTAGTACTTGTTTTGCTATAACTCTTTCTTTCACTTTTTTCCCTTAAAAGGAGAAATGTATAAGTTCCGTGTGATTGCTGTGAACAACTATGGGGAGAGTCCACGAAGTGCAGCCTCTCGCCCTTACCAAGTAGCTGGTTTCACCAACCGGTTTTCCAACCGCCCCATCACAGGACCTCACATAGCTTATACGGAAGCCATCAGTGACACTCAGATCATGTTAAAATGGACAGTGAGTATCATCAGCTTCTGGTCTTCTCACAGTTGTGGGACAGTTCTTACTGCTTTGGCTAATTAGAAGCTCTTAAAAGTCAAGGATTAAAAGCTAATTGTGGAATAGTGAGTGTTTTCTCTTTCCCCTGATAGTCAGAGGTGATCTTGTTTCTAGAAGAGGGTAAATGTACTTCATTCTTGTATGGTAGAATAGGATAACTTACCAGGCCGTGTGCCTCTCGCACCCTTTGCTCTCCACTTCCAAACCCTTTTTCCTCTGTGGAGGCAGCCCTGTCAGTTGTTTGCTCCCTTTTGCACTGTCTCCCAGCCTCCCTCCACATTAGTCTCCTCTCCCCACTCCCTGGGGATGTCACTCACGGTCTGAGCACTCCATGGGTTATGACAGATGCACCAAGTGGCAGCTTCAGTGAAAGGCTGCAGCATTCTCAGTACACCAGGGTTTTGCACTGACATACCTGAAGGCACCACCCTGTCCAAACCACTGCTAATGCCATCAGTTGTGAGCAGTTGGCCTCATTTGCTACAATTTCTGCTGCTTGTGTCAATCCAGGCAGAGATGGCTCAAACTGGTGCTGTATTTAGAAACCTGACGTCTTCCCTTGCATCTAATAGAGGTTTCATGTTAGAGAAACACTTTCCTTACCCCAGTACCTTGTCTTTTGTAAACAAGTACTTTAAAGTCCTTATTGAAAGCCATAGAAATTCTTTGCTCTTGTTTTGAAATCTAACCCCCTAGTATACTTTGGAGGATTTAACGTGTGGAGTTTGCAATGTTAGTTCGTTCCACTAGCTTAGTCTTAAGAGATGTTAAGGATAATAAACTTGAAATAACCTCTGGTTCCTCAGGAGGCTACATAATTTAAAGTTATAGTAAAATATCCTGAACTGAATTTTAGAGTGACTTTAATTCTTGCTGTACTAAAAATGGTCTTAACTTCTCCATTCCATTAATCACTCGAATTTTCAGGTTGTTGATGCTCAGACTCCCTACTTCAATGTCCGTAGTGATGTGGGAGGAAGGTGTCATCCCCAGCTCAAGCTCTGTCCCAGTGCTACCCTTCCTCTTTTGGCTGGTCTGAGGAGTTGAGATGCAGAGAACTCTTCTTTCTGCAGCTCTGCAGGAAACTTTCATCCTCTTCAGCATTGTGTCAGTCATACCTGTGTCTGCACATCCACAGCAATTGACAGCCCTTTTTTGTGTTGTGGTTTCTATGCAAACCTTCTTCTATACCTTGTTTGCACAGTCTTATTAAAAAAAAAAAATAAAATAGATATTTCAAGGTGAGAAGAGATTCAGTGATGACAATTCAGTAGGACTGAATTAAATTTTTTCTTCCCTAATGCTGTCTTCTGGAATTCTCTTTTAGTATATTACATCAAGCAACAACAACACACCTATCCAAGGATTTTATATCTATTATCGGCCTACGGACAGTGACAATGATAGTGACTACAAGAGGGATATTGTAGAAGGTACAGTGCACTTTGCTTGCTTAGTAACACTACTTGATGGGGAAGAACATCATGTAGCCATGTTGGCTGTGTTTATAAGAAATCTAAACTGCTTTTCCCAAACTGAGTCTTTACAATATATTTCACAGAAGTAGCTATCTCAACTACATAACATCAAATTCTGCCCACACATGAACTTGTTTTTTTCCTTCTGAAGCCTCATCTACGTTGAAACTTGAAAATTAAATATGTTTTTAAGTTTGTCTTGTTAGGCTGCTGCAAATCCTTGATGTAGCTCTATTTAAACCGGTTTAGTTTAAAATAATTTAGTAAAGGGAAACCATTGCAGATTAGTTTTAACCCAGAATTAAGTGTATCTGTTACAGACTGTATTATAACTAGATGGATTTTATGATGATTTACTTCAGCATGGGTTTTCTAAACTAGGCAGTACTTTGTGTGTGATTTTCCTTCTCTCCTTTTACATTGCTTAGTTGCTTCTCCTGCTATAAGGAAGCTGCTTTTAGCCTCAGGTGTAGTAGTGTGCTGCAAATGCAGGTATGTTTGTGCTTCATTTTGCCTGTTAATCAGTTTTTTTCTCTGTGCGTATTAGATCATCATTTTCCTGGAAGAAGTTATTAGATAATGTCTATATTAGTCCAGAAGTGGAAAAGCCTTTTAAAAATATTTTACTTAATGTCCTTATTACTTGGGCTGAGTAAACGCAGTGATCTCATTCTGTCCCAATGACGTTAATTATTTTTTCCCCTCATTTATTTCAGTTTCAAGGGGAATGGGCCTTTATTTTGAACGTTTTTCCCAGCTAGACAATACTCTGTATAGGACTTTGATGCGTGACATAAGCTTTTGCACTCTAAAGCTATTAAAGATCCAGAGTTTCTGCTCAGAGGTTTGCTTTAAAGAAGCTTATGCAGACTGCAGCTTCATCTGCAAATGTATTTTAGCCTTTGCTAGACAGAACTTGTGTGTTTATAAATCTTATACACTAAGCAGTTAGTTGTTTAAGTGGGCTCCACTGTGCTGTGAAATTAGCTTGTTTCTGATTTTTTTCTCCCCGTGTGTGTGTGTGTGTGTGTGTGTGTGTGTGTGTGTGTGTATTGAACTCTTTGTGGCAGTCTGAAACCATTAGCAGCTGCTCTGCTCTGCCAAACCCTGGAACAAAAACTCATTTGGTGGAAATATTTAAACAAGAACTTTTCTTTACTGTGCTCCCCTAAATTAGCTTTTTAGGGGGAAGAAAAAAGAGCTATTTTCAATTAAAGTGTGATTGGAAGCACTTGAAGTGAAATATGTATAGAAACACGTGACTTAGGACGTTTTTCTGTAAGTCACTTGTTCTTAAATTTTTTTCCCCTCTGTTTCATTTGAATTTATCTGTCTGTTTTTGACCGGGAATTTTATCTTGAAATGACTGTGTGTGTAGTGGAAAAAGTGTTGTGATGCCTGTGTTAGCTAAGTACTTGCCGTAGGCTTTCCTTACCGTTTCCTGTTAAGTCTTGTCTTTCGAGACATTCAAAATGCTGCAGAAGACTTTCTTCTAATGAATGCTGCTACAGGCCAAATCAGATTTTATTTAAAAAAAAAAAAAAAAAAATCTCAACTCAGATGGCTCCTTGCTATCTTTCAGCAGTTTTAAGCAAAAGCAAAGAAAAATCTACCCTATCCTGCATCTACATTCAGTGTTTCTCTGTTTCGAGGGTCCTGGAGATTCAATTTAAAATGTAAATGCAGTCTGATCTCAGTTGTTTAAATGTTTTTCCTTGCTAATGGTGCACGAAGAGGACAGTTAAAGTGCCTGTACTGATTCCAGTTCCACTAATGGCTTGAAGCGGAAACCTAAAACCTGGTGTAGTAATTACCGAAAGGAATGCTTGGGGAGGGGGGCGGGTGGGAAGAACTGTGGATCTTGGGAAAACGTGCGCTTTAGGGAAAAGGCCAGTTCCAGCCTCAGCCAGGACTCGCGTGCGGTCACTCGGGATGCCTGCAGTGCACAAGACAGAGCCTGGACCGAGTGGTGCATCCATTCCCGAAGCTCCTGAACCCTGCAATGCTGCCTGCTGCCCTTTCCAGGGGGCCTTTTGCGGCTGGGCACGGGTACCTGTGCCCTGGCGTGGGTCTGGGAGAGTTCGAGTGGAGTCGTGGTGACAGCCCCTGCCAGCCAAAGAGGCTTTATTTTTTATTAATGCTTAAATCAGTAGGTGGTATGACAGTTTCTTAGAAACAGTGGAAACAGTTCAAGGTGGTATTTTCCAAGAGGGATTAGGAGTGCTCAAACAGTTAATTAAACTCACTAAAAAAAAAAAGGATCCCTGTTTATTAAAATTTGTCACAAGCCCGTGAAAGTAAAAACTGAGAGTGATTTATATTGAAGTGCTCAGTACTTCAGGAGGGTGTCTAAATGAAATGCTGGCCGGGAGCCAGAGATGACAAAACCGTCCTATTAGAGAAGATTGCTTGGCTTGGAATCTGTCTCTGCAGGGGCAGGCAGCGCAAGAGACAGCCTTACTGTCTAATTTTGTTTCCTAGTATGTTTAATAAAATGTATGTTCAATTATTTGCGGTTTCTGCTAGTTGAGTAACCCAGATGTATCCTTACTGTGAAAACAGGCTGCTTCAGTTGGTACCGTGCATTTCCAGAGATCCCACAGGACAGCAAACTGGGAGAGGGTCTTATTGCCGTGAAGTCTTTCCTGTCTGCAGTTAATCTGTTTTCTGATTGCCTTGCCAGTTTCACCTTGTTCTTTGCCTGGCATATTGTGAATAACTAGCATAACCCATCTTCAAATAAGTAGTGAAGGAAAGCTTATTCTATAAAAAAAAAAAATAATAATAAATTGTTTGTAAAATGCTGTGGGACACTTCAGGGTAGAACAGAGCAGTTCCATATTAAAGATACCCAGAACTGCTGCTGATTTCAAATGTAACGATGATGTTGGAAACTTCGATGTCTTTTTTAAGTTCAGGGACTTCCAGTTCTTGTGAAGAAAGACACTTGGGGGGGGAAAAAAACACACCCCTCCAGCACTTCATTCATCCAAAGGTTTTTTTAATATATTTCACAAGATGCTTAGACTTCCAAAAAGTCCATAAATTGATAATAAAACTTCTGTGCAAGCCACAAAAGCTGCAATACCCCATGTTTTATAAAGACACTGCAACATACTCATACCTAACTCTGACTCATACAAATAAATTAAATGCAGTTGATTATTTTTCATAGGTACAAAGCAATGGCACTTGATAAATCACCTGCAGCCAGAAACATCTTATGACATAAAAATGCAGTGCTATAATGAAGGTGGTGAAAGCGAGTACAGCAACGTGATGATCTGTGAAACTAAAGGTGAGCACGTAGCTAGTGCGTCTGCTTGTCTGTGAGATCGTGTGAAAGGTGGTGTTCTGTGCCATCAAATATCTGTTGTGTTGATTTTTTTTTTTGCAGCACAAAAGCTAGCTGTAATGAAGACTGTAATTTTCTGGAATGTTTTGTGGGATTGTTTTGTCTTTGATAGCTAGGATTGTTTTGAGCATGTGGAAACTGATATGTTACACTCCCAAGAAAGACTCTTAGCAAAACTCTGTAGATTTGCCTGGCCAACGCAATAGTACTGTTGTTCTGGGTTGTTTTTCTGCTATGATGATAGCCTCTCCTTAGGAGACAACCATGCTCTCAGAGATGACAGAATTGATTTGTACGTCTGTTTTATGTCTTCAGGGCTCTGTGACACATTGTATAAGTGCAGACCACAGCAATTGATGGTTATGTTGGCTGCCTCCATCGCTAATCCTGCATGCCTCTGGCACAAAGTTTGTACTGTTCTCTGGAAGTGTCAGATATGGCAGTCACATTTATTTTGCGAAGAATTCCTGTCTCCTTTAATCTCTAAAACCAAGTAAGGCTGTAAAGGGGAAATGCAGACAGTAAACTTCAAATGCAGAGCTATGAAAAAATGTTGTTTTTTTTTAAAAAAAAATTTAAAAGCCCTCTAGGAGCGGAAGCATCAAAATTTCGTTAAGTTAGTAGCAAAGCCCTTGAAAGAAAGGTTAGGAGCTGCAGGGTTTCAGGCTGTGTGTGCAGTTGGTTTTCCTCCTGCAAGGAATATAACCTTCCTCCCTAATTTTAAACTTGGCAAGATGTAATCTATCGTTCATACCACTTCTTCCTTAAAATACATCTCTTCCAGGCTCGCAGGGATTCTGCTTATCTAACACATCTGTATGGAGGTGCCTGTGTCTCTCTATTGACCAGCTTCACTCTTAAGCCAGGCACCTCTTTAAGCCTACTTTTTAGTGTCAAGTGGAGTGAATCTGAGTTGTGGTGTGCTGAAAATTAATGTAAATTTAATTTCTGCGTTAGACTAGCTTTCTGTGATTTCTGTTCAGCTCTTAGCATCTTAAATAGTATGGTTTAGAAAATGGGGTTAGCAGGGTTCACATCAGATAAAAGTAGGTCATCTGGCAGTGGTTATATGATAGAAATGCGTGTTGTGGTTTTTCCTGACCTCAGAAGTGGAAAGATTTGTGCTCTTTCAAGTTGGGAGTTAGAGCAGTTCTGGCCTTGCATACGTCGAGTTGCTTGTTAAAGTTTCAAGTGACCTCAATGAGAGGGTTAGCAGGCTGGATAATAACCGTTTTCCAAGGCAAATAGTTATTACCCAATAGTAGTTGGCCTTCTCAATATAGTTTTTAATATTGACTTGGAAGCTTTCTCTTTGAGGTATTAGCATTCAAACTCCAGCAGTAATTATTTTTGTTTCATAATGAAAAAATACCTTTAGAAGACTTGTTTAGTGAACGTACCTATTCTTGTCTATTCTTTCACCTAGTGAAACGCATGCCAGGAGCATCTGAATATCCAATAAAAGACCTGAGCACGCCACCAAATTCCCCTGACCGGGTTGGGGGAAGCAGCGGTGGGCTTTCAAACGGCCCCGTTCGAAGCAGTGACATGCTGTATTTGATTGTGGGGTGTGTCCTTGGAGTGATGGTCCTTATTCTGATTGTTTTCATTGCCATGTGCCTGTGGAAGAACCGTCAACAAAACACCATGCAGAGTGAGTTATTTTTGTTTTCCTTTCATTTCAGTGTTCAAGACAAAAATATTATCAGAGTAAAATTAGTAACATTCATATTACAATTTATGAACAGGGATCCTCCTGTTAAGAGCCAACTGGCATTTATTTAAGGATTTGTGCTTTCTAGATGTGCCTTAAGTGAATATTTGAGAACAGCCATGTCTCTGTTTCCTTGCACAGATGCTCACTGCCCTGTTGCATTGCTGTAAGGTTGTGTTGCAGTTTTATCTAAAGAGTGGTGTGTTGAAATGCCAGTGCATGAAGTTCTTCAGCCTCTGTCCTTAAGAACCTGCACAGATTTCTGTTTGTTTGCAATGACAGAACTTGTATGTAATCCTAAGTAGTTGTTAAAATGCAGAGACTTAAATGCCACATCTGTCTATGTCCCTGCCCTGTGTGTATCTGGAAAGTGAAGGGACTTCTTGCACTAGAAGGACAAGTCCTGTGTTACTGCTTAGTCCCTTCACAGTAAAAGTGTGTTCAATGTATTGGTCTTCCAGAAAGGTGGTAATAGGGAAAACCTGCCAGTTTGCATGTAGGAGCCTTGAGCAGATGCACTGGAGCTTAAGCAGCCTTTGTAAGGTGCTCTATGACCACAAAATGATTCTGAGCTAATGGAGGTTCTTTGTAGTCTTCTCTCTTCCTAATGCATAAATCAGCCTGCCTTGTTCTTTCCATAGTTTGCGTTTATTTTTAAACGTCCTTACTCTCTGACAACAAGAAATTAAGCAAAGCTTGCAAGATAAGATAGCGTCTTCAATTGCAGCCCAGAAATATTTTCTGGAAGTAGTTCATAACAGATATCAGAAGGATCTATTGATTATACATACAGATGATCTGTCTTTAGAATGTTCTTTGCTGGGACTGGCTGACCGAGTCCTTTCAGACCAATGTTCCTCGTCTGTTCTCCAGGATATGGCTGCTTTCCATTTCTACATTTGCATACTAAGCACTTAGACACTACAGTTAATTTACAAAAGCTGCAGAAAGAGGAAAATGAGATTATTTTGTTTCTTAGAGAAGCTCGTTAAACTTTTAATTTGGCAATAAGTATGCTGTTTGTAGCAGAACTGCCGTAATAATGCCTGGGTCTTTTTGCAGAATATGACCCTCCTGGCTATTTGTACCAAGGTTCAGATATCAATGGGCAAAGGATTGAGTACACGACTTTACCTGGCACAAGTCGTGTCAACGGCAGCATCCACGGGAACTTCATAAGCAACGGCGGCCTCAGCAATGGCTGTCCACACATCCATCATAAAGTTGCTAACGGAGTTAATGGGATTGTGAACGGAGGAGCTGGACTTTACCCAGGGCACACCAACTCCCTGTCCAGGACACACGTGGACTACAAACATACCCACCACCTTGTGAATGTAAGCTCTTACACGGAGTGAAAGGCTCAGACTAGACCTTGGGATTTACGCAGTTTGTAGAAGCAGGCTTAGTTCGGGTGGGGAAATACTCATCCATTGATAACAGCCAGTTCCACTAAATGACTTTTCCCAAAGGAAGCAACTGGGCTGATATTTCTGATACAAACATCATGGTTTTCATTTGAGAATATCAGATGACAGCAAGAATTCCTCTTACTCTGGGAAATCTGCCTCTACCCTCCTCCTAACAGCATGTAAGCTCTGAGAATACTTTTGTACTGGGTTGAGATACTTTACTTGTACATATGGTATTTCTCAATCTTCAAATTAAATAGATTTAATTATAGCTGCTTATTCTGCAGCTTTATGGATCACCCGTTTTTCCCCCACCTGTTTCAGATCTATAACTCTAAGCAATGCTATTAATTATTGCAAAGCACGAATGTAGCAGGAGCTTCCATAAAATAAAATGTCCCATACATCTTGAAATGCAGCAATATAATAAGACTGCTTTTTTTTTTTAAGGCCCTTGTTTGTGACTTTTGAGACAGGCTCCTTTTTAAAAAATAAATAAATAAATAAAAACTAATTTAAGTCTGCGATCCAGCCTTTGTATGCTGTGGAAAAATACTTCATTTGCTGAAATGTGTCCTGTTTCCAAGAGACAATAATGATTTCATTATTGTCTATGGAAACAGATGGCTTGCATTCAAACTTACTAAACTTACTCAAAACTGTGAACATTGCCCAGGAAAACTGAAAGAAAAAGTTCAAAAGTCTGAGAAACAGCATGCTGGTTTTGGAGGAAAAAAAAAGAGGCTATTGTTTGTGTTAGTAATTGAACACAAGTACTTCGTTTTATTGAACAACAAATTAGCACTTGCACAGTAGTTGCCACTTCAGATAACTCTGGTTTTGAGGCTAGACCAGTTGGTTCTTCACCTGATTTTTTCGTTGGTTTGCTCATGTAACAAATAGTATTGCTTTTTGATTGCTTCAAAGAGCAACCCAGGCCAGAACCATGTTTTTTTTTGACCTGTCTACCCCCCAGCGGGTGAACTCTCGAAAGTTTCAAACTGCACAAGCCCTCAGGAAGGGAAGACTTTGTAGCATTTGAAAGCCAGCCCATAAGAAAACTTGCAACACAGCGCGTTGGACTTTGCATTGCTGCTTTGTCCTTCCTGCCTCCAAGAAAAAAATTAGGGAAATAGGGGTCTTGTGCAGGGCACTTGGTAACTTGGAGCTCCTCTGCAAAACCCTGTGCCACGAGATACAAACATGAAATGTCACAGTATGCCGTCTTGTGAGCAGTGACTGGGTTGGTTTCTTCAGTTTTCCCCTCCATGTTGTGCAGAGTTGAGTACGGCGATCCATTCCCACACAGAAGAGCTCGGACTGGCACGCTGATGAGGCACAGCAGAGGAACAGGATGTTCTCATTCTCATTAGGACTCTTTATTGTTTCATTGATTGGGCTGAATGAGGAAGAGAAAAACTGGCCAGTATGGAAATCAGGACTAATTAGGCATTTCCTCAGTGATCCATATCTGACCAAGCAGCCTCAAAAACTTAGGGCTAGCCCTGTTTTTGCATAAGCTGCCCTTACTCTTACCTACTGTTTAAGATCTCCAAAGTCAAATGAGCTTTCCCAAACTTGCTCCCCTCCCAAAATACGCTGTGGTAGCCTGGCTCCATGGCACCATTTTCAAATGGCTCTCACATCGGTGTCCGCCTAGGCTTTAACAATGAGGTATGTGTTAATCTGGGCATTTTACTTGCTTGTAATGGCCCCTCTAGCCAAAACTAACAACACAAAATCCCTCTCACCCAGAGTCATTGCTGGCTAAGGAATTACCCCATCTGTAAAAATATTAAATGTTTCAAAAATCAGTGTAGTGAAGTAAACTGATCTAATCGGAGTAATTACAGGAAAGTGGGATGGGTTTATGTTGTGACATCAGCCCTGCAAATTTAGTACTCCGTCTCCCCAAATGGGCACAGTTTGCTAATGAAAAGCAATTTGCTTTCATGTCTGTCATCAGTGTTAAAAATAAACATATTTACAGTGTGTTTATTAAATTAAACCTGAGCATATTAAGCTGAAAACAGACCAGGGAAATTACCACATACTTGTCTAAGCTACAGTTATTTACTTTTCTCTGACACACATGCTGGCAAAAGCTCTCTGCTTGACTTTGTATAATGGCTCAGTGTTGCCATGCCATATTACGGGACATGGATCTGAAGATTGATAAGGTGATTAGGGTTTGGAAATGAAGTGTCTTGGGGGCACCAGCTGACACTGAACTGCCTTCTCCTTTCTCCGTGACTGTCTCTTGTATGCTTTCACAGCCACTGATTGTTGAATCTTCCTGCTTCAGGGTGGTGGGATGTACACGGCAGTGCCGCAGGCTGACCCCTCCGAGTGCATCAGCTGCCGAAACTGTCGGAACAATAACAGGTAACGTAAAACCTGCACCTATGGTCAGGGCCTTCAGCAGAAGCCCTTCCTTTATAGGCTGTGTGGGGCAAACTGAAGTAGAGAGTGTCTCAGAGCAGTGCCGATAAGCTGTAGGGTGGAATAATTGAGTTATTGAACCTCCAGAACTCATCTTGATCGATCTCTTCGTTTGATGGTCTCTAGAATGTGAGGCAGGTTGGGCACAGTATTTTTTTTAAACCTCTTTTTCTTCAGCTTTGAGAGAAAACCATTCCATGTGGAATAATACAAAGCAGAGTTCTCAAATAGGATTTAATCAAGTCTTCTGTATTTTGCATTTCCTGTCATTCTCTTAAGAATGCCAATGAACTAGAATGGCAGCTTTGCTTTCAAAACACAATTCTTTGTGAAACCTGGTACTTGAGATTCTTCAGACCTTCAGTAGCAGTTTGGTCAGCCTTTGTTAGCACAGGATATATTTTTGCATGAGAAAGAAGATTCTTGTATAGAATAAGGGAAAATCTGTCTTCTATGTAGTAGTAGGCAATCTAGATTTTTATTATTATTTTTTTTAACGAATATCCATCCAGGCTTCTGATTAAATCTCTGGTTATTGTAATGACTAAAAATAGGACTGAAAGTCAGACATATTGGACCAGTTTGACTGGTAAACTTGGGGTCTTTTAAATCATACTTTGAATTTTCTCATATTAAAATTGGCAGCTGCCCTCCAGTTTACATCTGAAGAAGCTGAGTTGGAATTAATCTGTTACAGAAGACAGAAAAGCTGTTTGTTTTCATTGTTTTATTTTTTAATATATAGCTTAAAATAGGATTAAAATATTTCATCCCCATAGTGCAAAGGGGACAAGGTGTTACTTGCAGGTGGAGTTGGGCTTGTGTTGTTGGGACCGATGTCGCAGGGGAAAAGAGCTACCGTTTCATTATGAGCCAATTGTCTGTTTTCAAGGCAGCGTGTGTAACAGCAGTCATCAAGATGTGTACAACTGGCCATAATTTGGAACATATTGTATGCGTTATGCTGTAATTAATAGCTTGTTTTCCAGTTTTAAGCATATTTAATTTTTTAATTACACTTTTTTCTTAAGAGAAAGGGGAGAATGTGTTCCATCCTGTGCGACTGATGTTCTTCCCAGATGGGTCATTAGCAGTGGCTGAACTTTGAATTTTCACCTCCCTGTTCTATATTTGACTGCTTGATTCGGAAACAAGTTGTCCCTTGGAGCTGCCTACCCCAGAGGAGAGCCTGAAGTGCTGCTTGGCAGGGGAGCTGCGCAGCCGCTCACTGGGAGCTGGGACCTCTCTGTCCCCTTGTTTGTGCTTGGGGAACGGAAGGAGGACATGGGAGAGGGGAGCAGGGAGGACTGAGGACACGGCTCAATGTTACCCCAGGGGCTTCTGAGCTGCATTTATGGCTTGGGTGAGGAAGAGGAGAAAGCCACAGTGGTAGGCACAGCCTAGTATGTGGGTTTCAGCAAGGTTTTGGGGCCCATGCCCTCTCTCTGCTCAGGGCTGTGCCCTCTGTTTGCGCCGAGTCCTCCGCACACAGAGAGGACCCGTGCCTTGTCCTGTCCTCGAATTACTGCACAAAAAGCAGACAGTTCCTTGGTTGAAGTGGAGACACCTTCAACAGGAGGATCTCAGTAAAACACGAGCATGCCAGGTGCGTGGTGCTCTGCTAGAACACTTCACTGTCAGTTCCAGAAGTAGCCTATTTCCGCTTAATACCTGGTGTTATTGCTGATTTGGACTAAACTTGGCAATTTTTTGAATTGTGAACATGCACATATGAATCTTGATAATTTAGTGTATCTAATAGCTGGCTACCATGGCTATTTGCACCAAGAGCCATCTTGAAGCAGGTTTCACCACTGTGGTAATGAAATCCCTTGGTCTTCTGTTTAAATTAGCACTTCATGCTCTTGTTACCGCTCATGGAGGCTTGCCAGAGGTAGAAGCTGCTGAAATGTGGATACCCATTTTGCTGTTGTGGACAAAGCCAGTAAGACAAGTGTGATTTATACTTACTACATTAGGATTCAAAACTGATTTTTTGTTCTTTGGTGCTTTTGCACTAAAATTTTCTAGATTGTTGTGGTTGCAGAGGAATTTACATTTTTGTAGTTCTCTTCTTTGCAAGTTCACTTTGGCACATTGCTGTGTCCTGATCAAATTCAGCATACATGTTCCAAATGTCCAGCTCTTTAAATCTAAATTAGGCCGGTGCAGATTTCTAAGTCAGATTATGGTTTGTAGGACTTTGGCACTGAGAAATGATGCCAAATGTGTTTTCTGCAGCAGAGATTTTCCATTGCTATTCACACATGCTCTGCTCTGGATACGCCCATGGCTAGTTTCCGTCAGAATGTGGTTTTTTAAGCTTGAAAAGCTGAACTGCTGTCTTGAAACTTCACTCAAGCCAGTAGAGTAATACAAAGAACTGCACTGATCTCTGTATCTTTAAAAAGCAAGTCCTATAAACATGCAAAACCAAACATTTTAAATGGGTTTCTCTAAGAATTTTTTTAATAATGAGTGAGTGTAGTCAAAACCTCTGCGGAAAGAAATGCAAACTAATAAATGGATTTGTTTGAAGACCAGATGTGTTTCATGTGGATTCTTCAGTGGCTTTTGTGGTATTTTGGTACTTGGAATAATGACTTGGAGGCCGCTGTGTGAGCGGAAGGACAAAATAGGAGAGCTGCTGCGTGCCGAAGTGAGGCGCAGCCCTGTCCTCGTGCCACTCCGGAGGCAGCAGGTTCCTGGGCCCTGCCGCAGCCCCTGGGGGGGTCTCTGCAGGAGCCCATGGCCATCTCCCAGCCCCATCCCATGCTGCCGCTTGTCCCACCTCATCTGTGAGGGGGGAACGCTGTCCACTTCTTGTCTAGAAAGTTTGTTTGCGTTCCGCAGATAAGGGATGTTTTGCTCCTCAGTTCTGGCCATGTCAATTGCCATTTTCAGGTGGAAGTATAATGTGAGGCTCTGGCCATGTGCATAGCAGAAGTACCTCACGTGTGGTGTTTTTACTCATCACCATCACCTTAGAATGAAAGCACACTGTGGGAGTTGTCAGGACCTTTCTGTAACTGCCAGGCTTAGTGTCTCCCAGTTTTAAATCTGTTTCTGAGTTCAGTCCTTTGGTGCTGAGGCACCAGCTGCTATCCAAGTAAGCTCTGATTGCCGATACCCTATCACTGGTAATGTCAAAGTAATGTTTCCCCTCCTTCAGCAGCGCAAAGATCAGCTCTGCCCAGTTTTGGGCCAGAGTCACTCTAAAGAAACACTTTATATTGGATGAGGTAGCATCTGAACAGCCAGGTCCTGGGTATCAGTTCTTCTGTGGAAGAAGCCTCACAAATACGTTAGTGCTCCAGCTGTTTTTATTCAATACAGGCATGACAGGTACTCCAGCTCTACCGAGCTCATAGTTCAAACTGCACAACTACATCATAAGTATGTACAACCATGTTATTTTGGCTAGAGGTGATTACTGAAACGAGCTTATTTAGGAGGAAAAAAGTATGCAATGATTCCTGGATGGATTCCTTTCCAGAAGCTCCCCTGTATCTTGTTACACACCGTAGGTTTTTCTGCTGTGCGTCAGTTAAATGCATCTGATCCCACGGAGAGCTGCGCACAGCCGTGGGTGCCAGCTCCGAATGCCAGCACTTAGGTGGTGTAGTAAGTGGTAATAAACAACGGCGTGCAGTGAGATGGATGGGGCTTGTCATCGTGAGCAGAACAGGCGACAGTTATATTTAGGTTTGGCAGCAAAAGAATGCTCTGAGTTGTATCCATTTGGCATATCAGCATATCATTTGTGTGTAAAATTTGAAGCCTGTTTAACTTTCTCTTGAGTGCTTCAGAGTATCATTCCTTAGCACTAGTTTTGAACATGCTCCCCTTTCTAGTGTTCTCACTAATGCCAGAAAACAGCATTGCTGAGTCATTTTTCATCCATATATCCATGCTGAGGGGTCTGATGTCATGGTTCAGATGGGAGTGGGCACTGTTGTTTGTTTTTTCCCTCACTGGTCACTGTGAAACAAGTGGTTAAAGGACAGGACGCAGTGATAGCATCAGGTTATCATTGTGGGATACTTGCTTTCACTTCATCTGCTTATCCATCTCTGTTCCATGCCTCAAAACCAGGAGCATTTTGGGGGTGGTTTCCTAGTTTATGGCAATTATACAAATCAACCTTTTACTTTTTCAGGTAATTATGGTTTTGTATAAAACCACAGTGAAGTGTGATTTTGGGTTTCCTTTTGTAGGAATTATTTACATAAATGTTCGGTGAATCTATGTTGTTAATGGAACTCTAAACACAAGGCATTTTCCCTGCTTACTGCAGTGGTATGGATGTCTGTTAAGGTCTCTAGCTCCTTTTTGTTTAAAGGTTAAATACCTTGGCTGTAACAATTGATTTAGCAGTTTAACTTCAGTTTCACAGCCTTACACATGTATTGTAGGGCCACAATCTGAGTTGCACCACACAGGGGTTTTATGTTTATAGTGTTGAATATATTTTTCTAATTTGCATTCTCTCCAATAGCACTTAGTATTTATTTTCCAAGGTACTTAAGCTTGCTGCTTGGGTTTCAAACTTGAGCTCTTTTTCTTGGCAGTGAAAACCTGCTTTATGGGGCTGCCTTGATGAAGAAATGGACTTGCAAGTCAGGTCATCAGGTCACAACAGATGGGGGAAGTAACTGAGCAAATGTTTACAATGTTTTCAGCTGTCTGTTGGGAGAAAAAATGCTTGATCTTTTTCTTAATGTCAGGATTGATCCAAAAATATAGTCAAAACTTACTTGGCAAGATTCTTACTGTTGCTATAGTAAATAAGTCATGGTAAAGTACTTAAAAATTGTAGTTTCTCAAGATAAGTCAAGTAGTGGAAAGAAAAAACGTGCGGGTGATCAGGGCTCTGAGTAACTTCATTTTGGCTTATGTCCTCAGGTGTTTCACCAAAACCAATGGCACTTTCAGCAGCAACACGCTACCTGTCATGCCCATCGTAGCACCTTACCAGCAGGACAGTCTGGAGATGAAACCTCTGAATCATGTCATGGTGGCCATGTGCTTAGCTTCCAGCATTCCTGAGTGCAGCGCACAGCTGGAGGAGGACAGCAAAGAGAAGACAGAGCAGCCCTCCGCCCAGCATCCCTGCTGTCGAGAAAGCATGAATCAGCTCTCCATGGAGTACACAGATGGTAAGTCATTTTGAAGAGGATACCGCTGGGCTTTGAAGCCAGGTAGATTCCGCAGAAAAGCAGTATGATAATTTATTGCGGAGGAACTAGTAGTTAGGCCCACAAACCTGTCCTTTGGAAAAACTATTAAGTGTTCCACCTTTCCCGTTGTAGAAAATAGAAGTGGCAATGCTCAGGTGCCTGTGGCTGCCATGCCCTTTATGATTGATGCCTCTAATGGAGCTCATTTAGCAGGCGTGCTCCAGATAATGAGGCTGAGACTGATTTATGCTGGCTTGTAGTTGCCTGTGGTACAGCATACTCGTGGTCTCCCAGACCTAGACAGCTGAAATGCTGCCTAATGGAGTTTTTCCTAATGAGCAAGCATCCATAATGGCTTAGATTCATCCCGTAGGTGAGAACAGGCACAGAAATGTAGATGGAGATTAGGCTGCATAATCCTGATCTAATTAATGTAACCTATTAGATATAAGTCCATCAATGTGCTTGGATAGAGCTGATGCTCTAAACCGTTGCCTAATGCTGCATGTAGGCTTTGTGCCTGCTTAGATAAGAATAAATCTGTGCTCAGAGTGCTTTGCCAGGATCTGTTAATCTGAATTTTTAATGTGCTTGTGAGTCTGAGTTTAAAGAGGAGATAATCTGTTTAAAAACAAACAAAAAACCCTACACTTGCTTTGCAGGTGACAACTGTTTGCACTCAGAAACATCGAACCACGCTTTGAGCTGGAGTCCCCTTATTCTTCAGCCTGTTTCAAAGGACTGTAAGGAAAAGCCAGGATGGAGCTCATCTGGCGTCACATTAAATGGTTCTGGGGACCTCCGACAGCTCCAGCTTCAGGAAACCTGAGGAAGTGACCGCTTTCCCCACATAACGCCAGTAACTGCACAGCAGAGTCGCTGAAAGGGACTAATGGAGGGATGTTAATTATAACAGAGAGAGTCACTATTTATTTTTTGTAGTAGTGTCATATGAATGAATGTATCTTGTTTTTAAATGGTTGCCTTTTTATATTATTTATGCATTGAAATCCCTTTTTTTTTCCCCATGCACCATGAAACTAGCCTGGGTATGTGTATAAAAAAGATTTGTAATAATATAAAGAACAACAATGGGAAGTGTGTAGTGTGTCTTCCGTGGAATATGACCAGTGTGAGAAGCACTTCCAAGGAGACAAAAAGTGTCTTACACATGGAGTTAGCAGTTTGGAGCACACCTGGGCAGTTCTGATGTTACGACCACCTTCACAGGGGCTGCCACATCCCTGGCAACATGACAACACAGTGCTTGAACACTTATTTCCATGTCCTCTTTCAGTTTCTCTGGGAAGAACTCATGGAACAAGGGTGAATAAGGGACTGTGGGTAAGAAAATGAGTAGCTGAGTAGTTACAATATGGCTTCAGAGGCAGAGCTCAGAGATGTTCTGGCAACTGTTTGCATCTGTAGGTCTTTGCCACTATTTCAGTGATTCTTTCCTTTTCAGAAGTGTGTGCAAAAGCCCAGCCTGTTTGAACTAGCAGCTAGCTCTTTTCTTTTTACAAGTGCTTTGGTAATCCAAGCAGTCATCAGAACCTGGGCAGGAGGAGGGATTGTCGGGGTGCTTTGGAACCCACCTGGTCTACTGGTCTCCCTCCCTGCTCTCCAGCAAGTGCTCAGGGCAGGCTGCAGCCAGCCTTTTTCCTGGCAGCAGCATGGGTATGGGCATCTGCTTTCTTCTGCTCCAGGTAATGTCTGTAGAGCTGGATGGCAGGATGGTTTGGTGAAGTGATCCAGCCTAAAGTAAGTCTCACAATCACCTTCACCCAGTGTATCCCACAGATACACCCACAGAGCAGGAGGGATGGCAGTAACCAGGAGATGCTTAAGAGGGCTGCTGCCAAAGATGATCCAGCTGAACTGACCTTTACAGCTCATTAGTAAATAATTGCTGCTAAGTCAGGTGGTTTAATTTCCAGTGGCTATGGTGTGGAGCTGTTAAACTTGCAGCAGAACCTCCTCTGAGTTTCCCTGACTGTGCTCCTCCCACACCATGTCACCCACTGCAGTGCAGCTCCCGAGCCCGGTGAGACCTCCATGAGCTGTTAAAAAATCAAACCCAAAACACTGTGTTTGTGGTGCTTTATTCCTGCTGTCCTGCTCACTTGCAGAAGACAAATTCAGTTTGACTGCGTTTAAACTCCTTGGTTTGGAGTGGAAAAAAGGGGATACTACTAATTGCTTGACTAGCTGCCTTTGCCTTCTAGGTGAAATGAGCCTTGTCAAAGCGCTCCAGCCTTGTGCACGCAGCTCTGAGAAACCTGCCTGCCTTTTCAGAAACAGCACATGCAGCATGATGTAGGTGTTGCAATGTTAACTGCAGGGTTGTTTTTTTTTTCTTTCAAATTTAATCAAAGTAAATAAAACAAACTTGTGCCTGTAAAGCACTCTCTCCAGAAATCAGCGCGCATAACCCCAGCTTTGAGGCACATAAATTACAATTACAGCTGCCCCAAGGCGACACATGTGCAGCCTTCTTTTAATGGAACAAGTATTTTTCTAGTGAGCGCCAGCAACAGCCCTGGAGCTGGGAAGGGAGGAAGCGAAGCCGGTCTGGCTGGAGCTGCAAACCCCTCGGGGAATGCCTGCAAAGGCGCTACAGGTGCAGCGTGCCGTGCTCAGAAACTGTGCCTGGCCCAAAAAGTCTCCTTTCCCCACTGAATGCCAAGTGGTGTGTGTGCATGCAGCATGAAGAGATATATATAATGTGTTATATGCTTTATAAATAGAGTCCTTAATAAGAATTTACTAGGTCTGAGCTGGGTTACTATGCAAGACTATTCCAGTAGTTGATGCTTTATTTTTGCTTGTGTCCAGAGCCTGGTGCCGATGCTGTACTGTGTACGTGACCACTCTGCTTGTCCATGCGCGACTGTGGCTTTGATTTTCATGGTTGCAAGGCTGAGTGCATGTCAGAGGGAGGCAAGAGCATCTGAATGAACATGGCTTGAGTGCAATGTCCTGTCCTGATTTCCTGGAAATGTGCTGGTCTGCATTTTTGATGCTGAAGTGTAGGATGCCGGTGTGAGTTTGGTGGGCAGGATTGATGTGAGAGCACAGAAAGGAGCCCAAGGCCACAGGCTGCAAGACACCACGAGTGTCAGATTTGGGACTGGTTCTGTTCAAGGATGAAACTGTTGTAATCTGCCTTGTTAGCAGAATCTCTTTGTGGACTGCTTTATTTATATCGAATTACACTGTTTTAAGTGTTTTTTTCATTTTATTGTATTTTATTTATAAAAAATATATAACTTTTACCTTTATTGCAGGGGTTTGGTGTGTGCTCCCAGCTAGAGGTGCCTAATTCTGAACCTTCCTGCTGGTCCCACCCAGGCACTGTGGGCCTGGGGCCACAAAATCCTTGGGCTTGGATTGCTTTCTGCCCTAGCGATGCTGTGCAAGCCACACTCCTCCCTCTGTTTAACGCCTTCTCTCCTAAACCTGCCGTTCTGCTTCACTCCTAGGAGCACAGCTTTGCCCTTGCTGCGTTTTCCCATCTCAGACCCTGATGCGGGGCTTTCTCAGTATTTGCCTCCTTGCAGCTTTGGTGGATGAATGGTTAGGAGCTTGGTTTGAACTCCAGGTTCATTGTTTCCCCAAGCACTGCATTTAGCCACATTTTTAAGCAACCCTCGTGTTCCTCAGCCCCTGTGCCTGCTCCTCCTCCTCAGGGTTTTAAACCATGGGGCACTGTGTCCTCCAGGCAGTTACAAGCAAGATCCTCACCTAATGTTAAACCTACAGCCGTCATCTGATTCCCTCCCTAGTGGTTTGTGCCCTAGTTGGCAATTACGTTACTTAATAGGGGTCTGCATATTTAAAAGAAAAAAAAAAACGGGGCAAAAAAACAACCCTCCCTGATTCTCCAGGTATCACCTGGCTGCGGTTCTACCCAAGGAAAATAGTTCTGGAATTACACTGGTGTCACCTCTGGCAGTGATGAATTCAAGATGCATGTTTGTTGTCATATGGCAAATGATCTGTGTTGTTCTAAGAAGCTGTAATATTCCTTCAGAAGCTGTACGTATTTTGAAATGATGTAGTTTTTGCAAGCTTTTTTTTTTTTGGTTTGTTTTTTTTTTTTTTTTGGTGGTTTGAGAAATATTAAAGAGAGTGCTGCTGCTTTATGGAGAGTGGCAGGAGTGGTGATTGGTGCCATCCGGGGTCTCAAGCGGATGAACAGACAAACACTTTGCAGGCACTGAAGCAAGGTTGGTTCTCATTACTCAATACTTAGTGGAGATGTTATTAACAAAACACAGGAGAAATTACCAGGAACTCTCTTTTTTTTTTTTTTTCTTCATAAAGACAAAGGATGAGCAGAGCTGAGGGGCTGCTTTCCTTGCACCCTGCCTTCCTCTGTGTTTGTACCAAAAAGGGGGAAAAAAAATCATTAATGGCGATTTTTGACATCCTGCATTTTGGCCTGAAAAATGTGGACTTCTGGGGTAAAGATGAGCACCAGCTCCTTACCCCACTGAAGGTTTGTGGCTGTGCTCTCTTCACACTGCATAAACTTCAGAAATTCAGTGTGGTCCCAAAACCTCCTGACAAACCCACCGCTGGGGGAGGCCCTGGCTTGCAGTGGGCTGGGAGTGGCACTTCAGTGCTTGGCTCTCCTCCACTCAGGGAGGATGAGCGGGCACCTAAATATTTTCTTTAGCCCCAGCAGTAACAGCAGAGCTGGAGGCCGGTGCTGGTGCCAGAGGGCGCAGGGCTGGAAGCCCCGTGTGCGAGCAGGCTCACCCATGCACCGGGGCTGTGCTGCCTTCTGTGACTGGTGGGTAAATCCCTGAGCCAGCTTCCTCTTTAGCAGCCCCAATAATGCTTCAAGACCTTGTATCTATTGTGGTTTTGTCAGCCCTCAGCACTATCCAGGAGAGAAAAGCCAAGCCCCTTCCCTTCCCTTCCCTTCCCTTCCCTTCCCTTCCCTTCCCTTCCCTTCCCTTCCCTTCCCTTCCCTTCCCTTCCCTTCCCTTCCCTTCCCTTCCCTTCCCTTCCCTGTAGGGCAGGAGGGGGAAGGGAAAAATTATGGATCTTCCTCACCATCTTCTTAAACACTATAAAGAAGCAAAACCAGGCCTTGGCTCACTTGTTTGCACGTTGGCAGTTCGTGTCGAAGCACATTAAAGCAGCCCAAAGAATTTCCTCTGTGGCTCCTCGCCAGCAGCCCTCTGCACTGCAACCCAATCTGTCTCCGCCAGCCAAAATTTTTATGACAGTCCGCGTTATGGGAGGAGGGAGCGTGTATCCGGGCGGGACACAAAGGAAGGTTTTCTGTGTGCGAAGCAGCACCCGGCCACTGGGCACTTCCGAGAAAAGCACGAGGGCTGAGAGCCTGACTCCTTCACTGGTGCCCGACACCCGCAGCCTTGCTCATGCGACCCCTGCTTCTCATCACCAGCCCCCTCCCCTCAGGTTTTTCCAAAACACATCCCCTCCGTGCTTGCTGCGGTGGCTGCCTGGCACAAACCCATGCACCCTTCCAGCTTTATTGACGCAATGAAATGAGTAAGGTACAGCCTGGGCAGCACACGAGGAGGGGGCTGAGCCCCTGCGGCTCTCACTGGGGTCTGTCCCCGGAGATGCTGCAGGGATCGGGGTGGGCACTGGTGCTTTTGCCAGACCTGAGCTTGTCCCCAGCATCAAACTGAAGGAAAGGAAGCAACTGGGAGAAGCCCCTGGGGTGAGGTTAAGCCAGGCTCATGGCGTGGCCATCACCACGATGGGGACATCAACCGGCAGGTCGGCAGCGGCAGCATCTGGCAGGGCTGAGAGAGGCTCTGCAAGGGTGGGATGGGGGAGCCTTGGTGACAGCCCCCTCGGCTGGTGGCTGCACTCTCGTCTGGCCCCGTGGGCACCAGTACCTGCTGAGGCTGTTGTGCTGGGGCCACCTGCATCTCCCTGTCCCTGTTCTGCTCTGTCCTCCCTGTTTGTGGCTCCTGGAGCATCCTCGGTCGTGCTGGGGATCTCTGGGGCTTCAGGGCTGGCCCTGGGGGGCACGAGGCTCTCACCCGGGGCCAGGTGAGCACAGTGAGAGCTGGGCACCAGGGCAAGGGGGTTGGGACACTCACGTGTGGAAGAGTAGGTTGTGCAGCCCTGGGAACACACGAGGTGAGGGTGTCGGGGGCCCTTCCACTGCCCCGGGTGCCCTGCCGAGCCTCCCCCCCGGCACTCACGTGGCAGGTTGTCCCGGTGGCGGGCGACGCAGCGCACAGCCAGCAGAGACACCGCAGTGGCCACCAGCATCCCCACCACCGCCGCCCCCGTCACTGCGGGGAGTGCCTCGAAGGGAGGCTCAGCTGGAAGAGAGCGGCTACCTGTCAGCTTGTCCCTGCTAGGGGCAATTAAGGTAACGAGGTGAGGGGCAGCAGGGACAGTGCACGGGTGCAAGGTGTGCAGGGGGACAGGAGTGAGCAAGGTGGGCACCAGGCACCCCAGCGCAAGGACTGGCAGAGCCTCGGAGGTGGAGAGAGATGGAAGCCTGCACCTGTTTACTCTGAAACCTACTGATGGCTGCTCACGCTTGGATGCAAATGCTGCCTTTCTCCACTTAATCCCTGCTCTCCCGGTAGGGACACAGCCCCTGGGATGTTTTTCCAGCCCCTACTGATGTCTGACACCGTGTGACCGCTCCAGAGGGGATGCCGGAGGAGGTTGGATGCACTTTCCCACATGCCCTTTCCCACTTCACCTGGCGTCTGCACCTCAGAGGGGTGCCCGGCCGTGCGGTGGTTGACAGCCAGGACGCGGAAGGCATAGACCACAGTGGGGTCCAGCCCCCCCAGGCGCCGGTCACGGGAGTGGGGCTCGATGTCACCGGCGGCTGTTTCCCAGGGGCCTGGGGCCCGGCGCTGGGGCTTCTTTGCCTGCCGCCGTTGCACCACAAAGCCGGTGAGGTTGCCCGTGCCCTGCGTCCGCCACTCCAGCCGCACCTCGGTTCGTGCCCGCGTGTACCGCAGCTTGCTGATGGTGACGTTGGGAGGGGCTGGGTACCCTGCAGCGAAATGGCACCCAGCAGGGATGGGCTCGTCCCCAGTCCGCCCTGGGGACCCCTCCGGTGCCACCCCCTCCCCCAGACTCACGGTCTACACGGAGGTGGACGGGGAGGCTGGTGGTGCCCACGGCGTTGGCTGCAGTGCAGCGGTAGGTCCCACCATCCCCCGGCCACTCGGCATCCCGGACAGTGAGGTTGGCCCACGCTTCATCCTGCTCCAGCCAGTACTTAGCCATGCCCGGTGGCACCTCCCGCTCCTGGGGGTCGTACCAGACCATTTCGGCACCCAGGTGGGTGACACCGCACCACCGGCACGCCAGCCGCGCCTCACCACCCTCCAGCACCGCCACCTCGCTCCGCTCCACCTCCAGCTTGGGGATGTCTGCACAGCGAGAGGGCACGGAGACACTGGGGCTGTGCAAGCTGCCGGCGTGGCGTGCTGCAGCACCGCTGGGGACAGCGCGTGGGGACATCCCGGCTTACCAAGCCGGAGGTGACACTGAGCAGCAGCCACCCGCAGTGGGTGGGTGGCCACGCAGATGAAGTCTTGGCCCCCCAGGCTGGCATCAGCGCTCAGCACAAGGACAGCAGCCGAGGGCATGGGGACACCCAGCGCCTCACCCCGGCTGTCCCACCAGCGCAGGGTGGCCGGTGGCATGCCCCCCTCCCAGCGGCACCGCAGCATCACGAACTCATCATGCTTGCTGGCCACAGCCGTGCAGGCAGGGCTGCCAGCTGGGACCCCTGGGAGACAGAGAGGCGTTGGGGGGTGGCACTGGGCGATCCCCGCCCAGCTTCATCCCCTTTGGGAGCAAGCAAGGGGCAGCCACCATGGGACTGCTTCGGGGATCGCCCAGCTGTGGGGCACGTTTGCCCTGTGGCATGGCTGTGGCACATGGGTTGAAGGCGGGGGGGAGGGCAAGGGACGTGTTTTAGGGGGATGTCGGGGTGTTGGGGGCCAGTCTGCACTCACACAGGGTGGTCCTGCACATGGCCCCCTCCCGCAGCGTGGGGTGGGTGGCCAGGCAGGCGAAGGAGCTGCCGTTCCTTGTGGTCACCCCTGGACGGATGTTGGTGGCCATGGAAAAGCTTGGCCCTGCCGCCTCCTCTTCCTCCTCCTCCTCTTCCTCCTCCCCGGGGCCCACCCAGCGCAGCTGGGCTGGGGGGAAGCCCCCCGGCCAGCGGCACCGCAGGGCCACGTCCCGCAGGTCAGCGGTGGCCAAGGCAGAGCAGCTGGGGCTTCCAGCCGGTGGATCTGCACAGGGC